CTTTTAGATGTACGCACCGCACCTTGACGAATTAGAAACCATTTCGGTGAATACATTCAATTAGATGGCGACGTATTAAGATCCACAAAGTGCAAAAAAAATATAACCTGTAAACGCGCCTTATGTAACACCGGGTAGGTAATTGAAAATGACGACAGGTTTAAATCGCGTTTTGTCAACTAAAAAATCCCGATGCAATCGCTTCACCCTCTTTCCCTTAACTATCCTCTAATTAACCGGAAAAAGATTAGTGTTTGGCCAATGGGAACGTGTACAGGAAATAACCCATTACACGCACTTCTACAGATTTAAATGAAGGGAACACGCGAGCTCTTTAAACTTTATAAACGCCATTTCATTTGCATTTTTGTTTAAATATTTATTAGTTGAAGTTATGGTGTGAAAACATAAACGATTACCGTTACTTTAGGACCACACGCGAATTGATACAATGTAAATTATGACTTGTTAAAGCAAATTTACGAGGATTCCATATACGTTATGATTATAGTTTGAATAAGCTTTTGGCTTCTGGTAGATAGATGGTAATGTAAACACCCCCATTAAATTTGTTTCCGATTTACGAAACACTTTTGTGGTGTACCTATTTGAAAGTTTAGGTTTAATTTCGGGTCCAACAGTAATCAATAAATATATTTAGAAAGAGTTCTCTAGATTGGAAAAAAGTATTCCCTTCATAAGGTGCCATTATAGGGCACTGTTGAGCTGTGAGCTTTACTGTGTATAGGATTGTCCAAATTGGACAGCTTCTTTCGTTAAAACCTTTTAATTTAAGAGAAGAATGGACCTATGTGTCAAGCTCAAATTTAAAGAGGACATCACTGACACCATCTCTAATCGTTTGGCTGCTAAGGGGCGTTTCTCGAATTTAATCGATTTTTTAATGCCCCATAACTTTCTTATTATTAAACCTAATTAATTTTGGCAAAATCTTGGTTAGAGTACACAGTACACACAGTTTGTATACAGGCTCTACGCTACATTTTTTCATACGGACCACCCTATACAGGACTATTCTTTGGATAGGTAAAACATTTCACGACGGGATTTCGCATTATTTTCTGAGTAAAAAAGTCTAATAACAATTTTCCCGTAGAATACTCCTTCGGGGAGATATTAACACTTAGATTTTTAAATCTGGCAACATGACAGTTTGTCACAGTGTATTGAATTCAAATATTAAACTGTAGTATGGGGAAGGTTTCAAGTTTATATTTAACGATTAGAGATAGCACCACTGATTTTTAATTGAGTTCCTAGGTCCATTTTTCTCTTAAAATAGAAAGTGTCTCCACAAGATACTGCCTAATTTGGACAACCCTGTACATCAACATGCAGATAGTGTGTGGAAGGACTGTTTGGGAAGGAGTTGGTAAGCCCGGCCCAATGAAAAGTTTAGCGGAAAAATCAAGTGCGTAAATAAAATGAATAGCAATTCCTACTGGTAACTTTCGATGAAATATATTCTTCATGTGCTTGCATCTGGTACGTGCACAGAATGCAAATTATGTTAACAAAATCGCGATGGTGGCGTAAATTCCTTTCTTCATGAAAAAAATGGTTTCTTCTTCGACGTTATATAGCAAGTTTTCAAAGCACAGTTTACACACAAGCATAACAATTTGTTTAAAGTGAAAGAATGGAGGGTGGCCCGGGTGGTTATGTTGATTTATATTTTGCTTTCGGTAAAGAAACCTCTCTTGCAGACAAAGCAACTACTTACCGTTAATTCAAGAACAGAAATCCAGCTTAGGAGATTACGAATTTAATGGAGAAGACTCTGTTACAGCCTTCATTCTAGACCATAAAATGCATATTTTTCAGCATATTTTGGTGCGTTACATGCCAAAATGTCTGGAATTCATCGCTATACAAGACTGGTGATAATTACAACTTTTATACCACGAAAGGAAGCATGGCAGAGATGAACGATTTCACTTAAAAATCAGCTCATATCAATAAACAAGTCATCTTACAGATTATTAATATCAAATGCATCCAGACGATTGGGCCAAGTGACGTTAAAGAAATTTTCGTATTTAAGTGGGTCGAAGAAAAATTCGCTGCACTTCTTTTACTATTGGGATGCAGAATTTACTACTCATACTTGACGCTTGATACCTGCATAAAATTGTCAACAATTTCGCGAAATTAGCCAAGCCAATTTTTGCTATACGTCCGTCAATACATTTACAATTTGTACCCGCAACCTATACAGGGCGATTCACGTAGCCCGATTGTTAGAAGTTTTTAAACTTGCAGTTGAAATAGAAATGTGATTCAGAACCATAGTCAATTTAAATAAAATAATATTAAGATAGCACCGTTTCCGTAAATGCCATACCATTGTCTATTTTTTTAAAATTCACCACTTTATTCTGAATTAAACGCCTTTAACTTTTGCGTACGTATCTGTCTAAGTTTTTGACATCTAAAAATTTGGATGTGCAAGTGTCCATTCAAAAATCTCTTATCGTTCAAGATAAGTAAGTGCTCTTTTTTATAATCGAATCTCAAAAGTCTACGGAATTTTTTGAGTGACCGCTGAAAGTATTGAAAAAGTTCCTACGGCTACTGGGATTTTTTAAAATTAACAATCAGTAAATGTCAAAACTGATCCCAAAAATTTAATTCAAATGACATTTCAAAAGAAACGATTGTTTTCAAAGCCTACCACACCTAATGAAAAAGTAAAAATATTTCTTTCAAAAAATGTCAAACAAACTACCGAATACCTACACAGATTGTTAATAAAAGTGGCCCTAAGATTCAAATGTAATGTTTCTGGATGAAAAAAATGTGCTGAATACGATGGAATAAAGTTTACCAATGTTTGAGGCCGGGAAATGCTTTAACCGGAAGTGACAACCCGGAAATTAATGGTTTTTGGCTCGTAACTAAGTCAGAATTGCTTTTAGGAAAAAAATTGTTCTATGCAAAATTAAAGAGCATCAAAATCCCTACAGAAATGTAGGCGTTTAGGCGCAATGTATGTATTTATAATTGCGAAATAAACTGCACCAATATAGAAAACGAGCGACAAGGTCACTTCCGGTTCACGAGTATTGACCAAAATTTAATCAGTTAGTTCCTTGACCATTTCTACCTATTACTGGAAACATAATTGGAAAATTCGAAACCGTTCTCCAAGTTCAAGGATTAGCGCCATTGAATATGAGCCGGATTAAAAGTCGTGTTTCCGAATGCGAGTTGAGTGACAAAAAAATTCCCCTACTGAAAATCGTATGGGATTTTGCGTATCTTGTTTTTTTCCACCCGCACGTTAGTAAGGAAGAATAAATTATTAATAAGTATGCAGGTTACCAATAACGAAACGAACGTACAAATTAGATTTTAATTCAAACTATTAATTTCATGGATCAAGACAAGCTAGCACCCCCACTTTGAAAATAGGTACACTAACATGTAGATGAATTCTAATATTGTGGGCACCAATTAATTTTAAATTCGAGGGAATTGACGAACTTTTTTAGTAGCCAATGAATTTTCGATTGAAACTTTTTCTGGGGATGAATATTCCCGAGGAGAATGCTTCGAAGGCGAGTTTTCCGAAGGTAGACTTTCCGGGAACCCTGTTTTATTCGCGACAAATTCTTTCACAATTTATGCGAATAATTCGCACAAGTAACTGATCAATTTTTTTTAATTCTGAGGCATGTTTAAATATTTAGTAAAATGTTGCTAAATTCACTTTAACTGAACAAACATTTAATGTGGAAAAGATGCTAATAGGAGGATTTGTCTGCCCGTACAGCTACTGTTTGCTAGAAAATGCAATAATCGTTTGAAATTTGAATAAAGGAGTCGTTTGAAGCGTGCTAATAAATGGAAAGTTGATGATTTCAGATATCTATCATGACATTTCTTGTTACCTCTTTTATACAAAATAATCTTAATCATATTAGAATATTCTGTCAATGTTGTAGAGTGTATAACAACGTAGCTATTTTTCGTTTTTAACCGCTGAAATACAATGTTTGTTGTAATTAATATGCCTCTTAAAAGAATAAAATATTTTCTCACTTTATTCTTTACAGTTGAGAGTATTGGGCCAAACTTCCCACAATTATTGTACGTTTGCATCAAATTTTATGTATAAGAATTTCCCGACTTGATTCGGTTAATTTTGAAAACCAGCGACTGATGCTATAATTCAAATTTGTCTCACTATTTTCGGTGTCTTTTTGGCAATGTTTGGGGTTGTTTCGTTATGTAATGTAATACCTACATTCACTTGTGGAAACCTGAGTGGTTGAAGACGGGAAGAATAGGTATTCAAATTCCTGATCGATCGAGTACATTCAGTTATTTGTCGCAAATCTTACAACTTTCCATCGGACAATTTTGTAACCGGCGTCTTCTTAGCTCCACCATTAACTACCTATAATGCAGTAACTCGCCATTTTTCAATTATAATCACGTGGAACGTGATTCGCGCCATAAGTAATTTTTTTAATTACATACAATTAGACTTTATGTACCTACCTACTTATATAAGAAAATTCAAAAAATGTTAATTATTTAGATGTAATACTTAGTTTCCCTTTCTAATAATTACTTAATGAGTAATGTTCCCCATAGAAAGTTTTGAATTTGTATATTGAAATATTTATACGTTCAGGAATGCCCAGATTAATCCCTTCTTGTCAAAGCTTTAGTCGAGTATGGTCGGTAAGATTCGATTCCACGTGTTTTGGCCCTAGGCAACCCCCAAAGATACTTCATTGCTTTACTACTACTGTTAGTGAAGGTGGTGAACCGTTGATCGGCTTATTTCATACGACACTAAGAAGAGTTTTCGATCGCAAGTGGTGGCGGTAACTTTCGCGTGTTTAATTTGATTTTAGTGCGCTTTGGATTTAATTTTTGCGATTCATTGTAAGTTTTCGGCAGCGATGAAAGTAATTAATTTTTATGTGCGTACATTGTTTAATTTACACAGTTTTCTTTTGTTTTAGGAACGTTTAACAACTGGCGGTCACGGATCATTAACGTTAAGCGGGAATTCTCCAGGATACGGGGCTGGTGGCTCCGGAGCTCCACACCGTGGCTCCGGAGGCCTCCACCACAGTTCAGCAATGCAACATCAATTACCTCAGCCCGATTTCCAACCCCCATACTTTCCACCACCGTTCCATCATCCACCGAGTCCACCTCCCCAGCAGCACTTAGAATATCTCACGGATCCTTACGGCGGCCTTTCTGGTTTACACCATTATAACCAGCTTGGTCTTAGGCCTAGAGACGGCGATCCTAATCACGCACATGTGGTAAGTTAATTTTTATCATTCATTATTTATATACTCCTTAGATCATCAAGTTTATAATTCTAAAATCTTTCCGTCATTTATTAAACGATTAGACTATTGCTAAATGGAAAAATTTAAACTACAATGAATTCATTAGTTATACATAAGTGCAGTTATGTACGTTTTTATAGGTAGTTAAATCTAAGATCAATATCTAGCATAAAACTGTGGAACCGTGGAATTTTAAAGATTATTTTTCGATTGATCAGAAAATTTTAGACTTCAATTTAGCAGTAACTTTTACAATAATTATTAGAAATGTATGCACACTTTGCCTCTTTGTTATTTTCGGTAATGGTAATTGTAAAATGCTTGTCCTTTTCGATAATGTGTTTTTGACCACCCTATAGATACTTATTGCGAAAATACTAAATAGGGTGATAAATTAGTAAAATATTTTATCCAAATGCAGTTATGCACTTCTCCAGAGTGTTGTATTGTTTAAGGATGTGCATTTGCACAAATACTAACGTCAAACATTTTTACTGACTCCCAATAACAACAGCGATGATTGCCCTTTTAAATTTAAAATCTGTTTGTCTTTAATTTTTTCAAAAGACCCCATTTTTGCGATAATTTCGATAAAAAAGTTGGAAAACATTGCATTCTCATTTACAGACTATTTACTTGGAGTAGTCTTTTTAATCCTTCTCGACCCTTAGACACGCTACGATTGATGTTCATGGGCGGACTGGGTACTTACGGGCCAGTTGGAATTGCATAGGTTACGGGCCATTAAAGTATCAGTGTAGTAATGAAGGGTGCGGAGGGGAGGGGGTGCTCTGCGGTGCACCACAAAAACATTTTTTTGCTTCATTTTAGTACTCCTTTTTCGGAAATCAATTACAATACAGTTTTTTTTTAATTGCAGCTGATAATTAAAAGTACCAAAATATACAACCCAAACGAGGCGCGTCGCCCATCATTGTATTTCAGCACTTTCATGCTACGACAAAAAATGATAAATTCATTGTAAAACACTACAATTAAAACAGAATTTTTTAACAACCTAACATCAACCCCAATTAGAGAAACGTGTTAATAATTTATTAATAGTGCAAGAAACTAAATACAGCACATACTTATAAATTTCCAACGGGCCATTATGACGTACAGGCCAGGTGGAAATCGCCACCCGCCCTCCCGGGCTACTCCACCCCTGTTGATGTTTTCTTTTATGCATTCTTTATACTAATGTAAATTAGAAACAGATATTGACCTGCAATACGAAACATATACAGGGTGCTCATAAATATTATGTACATACAAAAGGGACTCATTTTATGACTATAAAAGTTCATATAAACGTAGGTCCGCCAAATTTTCGCTACCGATCTACAGGGTGCAATAGTAAACCTTTATTTTATAAACATACGCAAATTTTCCAAATGCGAACTGTCAAAATCAATAAAAAACAAGAGAGTTTCGTAATAAAGCCAGGGCCTACTGGACCATTTTAAAAATTTTAGTTTAATTTAGTTAAGACCCTGGTTAAGACAAACCCTTGGAATAATGTCTCTACTTCCTTCTGTTCATTTGGCAAAATCAATCTTACAGTCGCCCCATCCGTCGTTGATTTCGGAAGTTATTTTCGTAATACGTTCCCAAAAAAATCACTTCCAGGTAAACACGCCCTCACAAGGCTTATCGCCGATAAACTACAAGGGAATGCTCGCTCACGAAGTATTTGATTCGCGCACATTCGAGAAAAGCTCCCGAAGAATTGTCTTTAAGTAAACTCGCTGTCGGAATAGCTGCTATATCCAATATTAGAGCTCCCCTCTACCTCTATGCTCAAAAAAACATAACTCAATTTGAGGGTGTCTTCTCACTCCCCAAGGGGCGATTAATACGCCAGAAGGCGCTGTACAGTGGGGTTTGATGCCTTACAAAAGAAAAAATACAATTTTCTATTGGGAGATGGCTCTGAATTATTCTAAAGAAAACTCGCCTGTGAAATAACGGTAACAAAATTGATCTCAGAGAGTGTGCATCTAAAGAAACTCTCTCTGCAGTAAGCTCGCCCAGAAAACTCTCCTCCAAGTAAATTCGCCCCTCCCCCCAGTGCCGGATTAACCATTAGGCAGAGTAGGCAACTGTCTAGGGACCCCACGTCGACTAGAGATCCAGTGCACCCACCAAGAAAAAAAATTAAAACGTTTGTCTAATTTTTCTGCAGTACTCTCTAAATTAATATATACATCATTAAGGTATATTAAGAAAGAGAAACAAAATAAGCTTTCTAATGACGTATAAGATGACCTATGTTGCCATTAAAAAATTCAAGATGGCGGTCGCACTCAAGAAACAAGTGAATGTGTTGCCAAAAAAAGAATGAGCAAATCCCAGATCAAAGGAATGCTGATTTGCTTTTTCGATAGCCATATCAAGGCACCGTGCACAAAGGGATTGAGCCTCAAGGCCAAACGGTTAAACAACACTTTTACTGAGAGGTTCTTTAAAGACTTCAGAAAAGGAGTTATCCGTGCGAAACCCAACATCAAAAACAACTGAGTGTTGGTGCATCATAATTCATGGCAATCCGCGTTGTCCCACAGCAATTTCAGTGACCCGTTTCTTGACCAGTAAGAACATTCCTGTTGCTTCTCAGCCTCCTTATTCGCCCGACTTCAGTCGTTCTTGTGACTTTTTCCTCTTTCCGAGGTTGAAAAATTACCTCAAGGGACATCGTTTTAGGACACTGAACACTGAACTGACACGGTTAATCCGGCACTGCCTCCCCCGGATACGTTCTTCACCACAAAATCCTCCGAAAATTACTACTCAAGAAAACGGATTCGTCTTAAAGCAAAATTTTCTCAACAGAACGACACTAGGTATTTGCTTGAGCTAAACTCGAACGAAAAAAACCCTTTAAGAAAATTCGCCCTTAAAATATATACAGTTCTCTTCCACTTCTATGCTCAAGAAAACACCGCCTCCACAATTTTAGACACCTGAAACTTTCGTCCGCATTTCTAAGATTATAAAAAAGCAGGCAGGCGGACAACGGAATCGCCGCGCAAACAGACACGATGGTCCCCAAAATGCACACTTTATTTACTAATGAAATGGATTCATTTGGGCCCGCCTATAAAATACAGTGAGTTTTGACGCCTTATAAATTTCCTACAATGTTCTAACAATCCAAGGAAATTTGCTTGAGATTAATCGCAGCGCATCGGAAAGTATCACATCGCCCATCGTGCAATAGCGTCCTGTCTGAACATCGGAGAAAATTTAGGTTTCACAAAAAGTTGGTTCTGTGCTTGTCAAGCTTTTGTCTCAAGAGTTGTTAACAATGACAGATGAGATTTTTTAATGTTTTACGTACACAAACAAAATTAACTTAATTTATTCTCTAAATATACTCAGGGGGTCTAACAACAATAAAAGAGGGTTTTTTTTATCAGAAAGCTGAATAAACTTGAAAACTAGTACCTACGGAAGGTCTAGGATGTCAGACTGATGATTGTCACGATTTTATATTTTTTAAATTAGTACTTTCAATTAGTAATCGTATACTATCTAAATTATACCTTACTAATTTTAAATACAGACGAACCCTTTGAGTGTCATTATATAATTTTGATGAGAAAGTTTTTAAAAAGATAAAATAGGCCAAATCTCCAATCGGATATTTTTAGTCCTTCCAAAATATTGTAAAACATTGTCTGTTCTATATAATCGCTCGTCCCACAGGGTTAGGTGGAAGAGCACGGTAAGTGTAACATTTTTTATGAACTTCGTCCACTGCGCATTTTTTATCTATTATAATTGTACGTGGGTGTCCGGTCTAGCTAGAGCGCTATTTTGTGAGGTACCTATCAAACATATGGGGGGATCATTTGTTTTGTTTTGACAGCCGTTTACATTTCAACTGATTTTCCCCCTCCCCTGTGATCACCTAATTACAAATGAATAAATCAGAAATAAATAAATACAGCAAAAGTATATGTATAAACAACACGTTTAGTGGTATAGGTATCAAAAATGCGGAGAAGATGCATAAGCAATGTCAACCTTTGTAATTAAATTAACAGTAACTATATAAGCAGGTTAATGAGAAAACTTAGATTTATATTGCAATAAAAATTTATGAAGAGGAAAAAAAAACGACAAAAAAGGACTCTAACATCGGGAGGTATAATTTAGCAAAAATTAATTAACTTGTCACAACATTACAACAATTACGAGGCGACGGAGACACAAATGAGATAACAACAAGTCTAAAACGAGAATAATTAATCATATTTTTTTGCTATAAATGATTTTTTTTACGAATTGGTTAACTGTAAATGAGGTGTGTTCAAATAGTCGAACTAAACGTAACTAATCTTCTTCCTATATAAACGCTCTAACAAGACATTGCGAAATGCAAGCCAAGTTTAATGGTGTTTGATGCCATATTTGGAGCGATTATTAAAGTGACGGATAGCGCGTGTATTTAAAAGTTAACAATTAAAAAATAAATAGAATAGGGCCACTAATTAGCCTGGGAAGTATAAGAACACTTATTAACATATCAATTTTAAAGCATATTTATTGTTTATTTTTAATAAACTGAAAAAAATAAGTTTAGATATTGCATATATTGAAGTGGAGCAAGATTTGCGCCGCACAATAACTAAAAACAACATGTAATATACCTCATGTTGCTTTCGCTACTCACTAAATTGAAATCCGATGCAAATAGTTACCGTTATTGCAAATTATCTGCATCTTCTATAAAACATTCCATGCGATAGTAATGATTTGGATATCATAACATTAGCAATGCATATGAATTTAAACATTTAAGTATTAACGTTACTTTTCAATTTTGATCAAAAAAGAAAATAACTAGGATTAGTGTACTATAAATGGTAGGTATAAGTGGTTATAGGCACTATTCACGAATGTAATGAAGGTTATTATCGAATAGGATTCGCGACTGAAATATGTAGAATCATGTATTTAAGAGATGTTATGCCACACTGTCATTTGACATGCAGCGTATACTTTGACCCATGTTTTTTTTCCATGAGAATACTTCAAACATTCAAAACGGTAAACCTTTTGGTCTTTTAAAATTCAGCCTATACACATGTTCTATCAACCGCCTCAAACCCCTATCGTGATGGCATACAATTCCTTATATCTCAAGACCAGATTGGCGGAGAATACTCACAAAGGAAGATTGGGACGTTTGAAAGAAATATAGCCCCCTCCCCATTAATCATCTACCAAGAGAGTAAACATAGATAAATATAGTATGCTACTACTTTACAACCCTTTTTTTTTTTTTTATTAAAATCCGCTTTATATGCACAAAAATGGTGCACAATTTACACTTGTTTTATATGGGAAGGAGGACGGATAACTCAACAATCAATTTCCATGTATATTTACACAATATTCTTTCTGTAGATGAATATCACCTATTCACCTTTTTTTTAATTAGGCGGTTATAAATCAAATGTCTCTAGCCCACTACAGTCAGCTGGGGGTAACAATCGAGTTGTTTTGAATCAATGTATCAAACGCTCAAAAATTCCACCCAGTATCAGTACGTTAATACACTTCGCCCTTTTGAAACTATCACGAAAGTCCTCCTGAGGGATTAGTTTTAAGTAAAACCCGGGGAGTCTGGGGCGTATGGAGTAACCCCCAGTAAATGAATATTAGTTGTCCCTTTTTCTACAATCATTAGTATAATGAAATAATTCGTATACCCATACGCGAATACGGGGTTTTTATTCGTATGGCGGTAAACGAATTATTTCATTATAGTGAAGATTATAGAAAATGGGACAGCTCCCAGACACCCCGGTACAACATTCCCATTCAAACATGTTTAGCGTTAGCACGTGCATGAAAATTTTAGAGAAAAGGCTATCGAATGGTCCACAATGCGCTGTTTATTTATACTAAATTGGTACCCCAAGCTGACTGTAGTTAGTAAGAGACAATGCTTTATAGCCGCCTTATTAAAACTAGGTAGTTAAAATAAAATGGCAATTGTTGGCTATATCTTCAAAACGGTTGATAGCTTTTTTGTCATCAAATAGCCTCTAGTTTAATTTTCCAAAATATTGCCCATTGCAGAAGCGACGGGCATTGAGAGAAAACTTGAAAAATACTTAACGGGAGTTTGAAATCTTGAGAGATTCTTGAACGAACCTAAAGGAACTTGACATGAACTTAAAAGGGATAGAAACTTGAGATGAACTAAAACCGTTCGAAAGACGTGACGAGAAAAAGAGTCTTATGGGAGCTGAGATAAACTTGGCTAAAGGAAAAGTCGAAAAAGAAATGAAGATTTGAACGTGAAATAATTTGGGGAGAACTTGAAAAGAATTTGGTAGATCTTCAGTGAAATGTAACAGGCATATTGATAGACATTTTAATACCAGATGCCAAATTCTTGACAGAAAACCAGAAAGCAACAAACGAACTTCTCAAGCAATCACTTATCATAAATATTAACCGCGCGCTAACGTGCTGGTTTTCGGAGAATTTAATATTTTTTCCCAAGTTTTCTGTAATTAAACGTATCCTAATTTTTATAAGTTAAACAAAGAAGAATAATCTCATTCAAATAATTTAAAAACATTTTTGAAAACAAGTTGCGCGCAAAAAACTCAGATAGGTATATCTGATCTTACATTATAATAATATGACATATTCAATAATTTATGATGTATACTATGTATCATACTTTGCAAAATAAAAAAATATTTGTCATCATTTTGAGAAGCTTTAAATCTTTATACAAATTAAACGTTCAAGAATTATAGTAACGAAAAAACAACCCCTTATCTACTACGAAAGTTTCATAATACTAAGGAAAAATTAATTTCTCCAGAATCTGCGAAATGGGCCAGCTATGTTAAGTTCATATTAAGATATATACAATCCTGACATCGTTTATGCACGGTGTACTTAAAGCATCTAAAATTAACGAAATAAAAATTTAAATTGTAACGAGTTGCTTTATAAATGAAACAAAAAAGAGTCGATTAAATTAAATAACGTCGCACATTATTAGCCACGATTCAAATATCATTTGATTGATGTCTTTTATTTACATTATTTGTTATTATACATAAGCTGATAAGATGAACAGCGACGATCCTCGCATATTTGTGATGTCTTGACATAGTTGCAGCAGAGAATACTTGCCCGAGAATGCGAATTATCCAAAGCAACCCCCCGTTGGCTCTCTTCCCTTAATTTTAATTCCCCCTCGTCGATCCTTTGGGTACGCTTTTATTTCACTAGTTTGTCGATAATATGGCATTATTTTCTTTTGTTTACAGGGCCAATTAAGTCACAGTGCGGGATTTCCTTACGGGGCGGCCGGTGGCGGAAGGCCCGATTATTCACTATCGGCGCCTCAGCGAACCCACGACGACGCCCTAGCGCTACATCAAGCGTTGGGACAAGCGGTGGATGATGCGCAGGGTGGCTTGGACGATAACACCGGCTTCATCTCCGATTTGCCACTGATAAAAAGTGCGTTTATAGGTAACAAATCTATTCATAACGTAATGCAAACGGTATAAAGAGCCCTTGCGTTATTCTATCGCGACAGATGGCTGGAAAACGCCTACAAATATATTAACTGTAATAACGCGGCTCTTTATGCTTTACTATATCGTTTATAATTTTGTTTATTTGTAATTTGCTTTGCTCCCCCATTCCTACTTTTGTACGATTACCGCTTTATACAGTTCAAGTTGTGTCTGATCCATGAAACTCACATTGTAAGGTCATGATCAATAATTACAAACAGGAGACCAAGACACTTTGGTCCCGGCGATGAGTCATACACAACTTAGTTTGAATTGAAGTATACCCGGATTTTGTATTCTGACATCTTTGTATCTTCTTGCAGGTATAAAGGGTGGAAAGGATCACGGTGGTAACACGATCGTTTCGCCTAGTGATGTGTTCTGTTCAGTTCCTGGACGATTATCTCTCCTTTCGTCCACATCAAAGTACAAAGTAACCGTTGGGGAAGTACAAAGACGTTTATCGCCACCCGAGTGTTTAAACGCGTCATTGTTAGGCGGCGTTTTGCGGCGGGCAAAAAGTAAAAATGGCGGACGGATATTGCGCGAGAAATTGGAAAAAATCGGTTTAAACCTTCCGGCGGGTCGCCGAAAAGCGGCGAACGTGACACTTTTAACGTCGTTAGTTGAAGGTGAAGCCATTCATTTGGCGAGGGACTTCGGTTACGTTTGCGAAACGGAGTTTCCCGCGCGACAGGTGGCGGAATACCTCAGCCGACAACACGGAGAATCGTTGCGACGTAAAGAGTTGTTACAGGCGACGAAACAAGTGACGAAAGAACTGATGGATTTGTTAAATCAAGATAGATCTCCATTGTGCAATACACGGCCCCAAATAATACTCGACCCCTCAATACAGCGGCACTTAACTCATTTTTCCCTAATCAGTCACGGATTTGGCAGCCCGGCGATAGTGGCGGCGTTAACGGCGATACAAAACGTTTTAAGTGAATCCCTTAAATATTTGGATAAAATTTATCCGAATCAAAATAGTCAAGGACAATCTATGTTAGTGACTTCTTCACTAGATAAAGCAAAATTAGAGGACAAAAAGTGACACAATTTCTTTACCAAAAAAGTTATTGTGTCGATGATAACTTTTTTGTACTTATGTGTTGTGATCTGATCTTATACTGAGGATGACGCGCTTGTGACGAAACATGTATGTTTGTGACATTATTTTATTGTTCAAGACTTTGTTATATAAGTATTATCTTACTTGTTTTTTTATTGTAATTTATCATTATTAATATTGAAATATATTTTTTTCAAACAGTGCCAATCATGTACCATAATAGTAATTAATACAGCACCTGTAAAAACTTTGAATTTTTATATTTACACCACAACATTGTTAACATGCCAAAAATAATCTAAGTGTTTTAGAGCCAATTTTACCCGTACTTTGGGAACCCTAGAAGTACTAATTCATCTACAAGTAATCACAGGTAATCGACGTTTCTTTTCAGAACTTCCAACTTTGAATTTAGTGTCAATGTAGTATTTTAATATATTACTGACATTGAAAGTATAAGTAGCGCGTGCGAAGTGCGCTTCCTTTTCCATATACTAACTAGATGAATTATATTATTTAGAAGTTTTGTGTCATGATGTATTGACACCTACTCCTACAGATAGAAAGACAAGATTAAATTTGGAGTACGTTTTGAAACGCGCTCTTAAAGAAGTACAAGACACACAATAAACATTACATTTAGGTACGGACATGTATTTTAAAACGGATTAGTGAAATTTAAGATTAGAAAAGAAGCGTCTTGGTCAAAGAAAGTGAGTTGTGTCAAGTTTCTGGTTTTGTACACAATATTGTTCAATTTTCGAAGTAGGTAAGGATAAATTGCACCAAGCCCTCTACAGGAGATTCAGCTTATAACAATTTAAATTAATGATATATTAATTTTTTTAAAAATGGTTTTTAAATACATAATGCTTAACTAAAGTATACAAAACAATCCATTATTGCAATAAAATAGTCTTCCATTTAAATTTTAAACCACATTTATAAATCGTCCTGTACATGGTGGTTCAAATTCGTGGATCACCATTGGGATCTCAGTAACGGTGACAGATACAGTATAACTTAAATGGGGGAAAAGTTGCATCTGAAAATCAAGATAGCTACGATTCATCAACGTGAGGCTTGCTTATGGGGAATTATGCAGAACAAAATTAATAACATGGCAACGTTGACAAAAAAACAAAAAGAGGTTAACAAATGACATCCAAATAAGTACAAATATACAGCGTGTTCTATTTAAAAAGTCAGTTATTTCTTGACACCGTAAAAATGAAACACCCTGTACTGTAAATTAAAAACTAATTTTTGTAGATGCGCAACCATCTATAGTTCACATTTGCACAAATCAAGAAACATAAAAATCTTCCAAAACTAGCAAATAAAACACTAAAGCAGAATGAAGCGGTAACGAGCAATGTTAATGATCGCGACATGGAATGTGAAAGAGGCATATGAAACAAAGGAAGTAAGGAATTTAATAAAAGTACCTATTAAAGGACTATTCACTATAACATCGATATAGCGGCGCTACAAGAAACAAAACAGAAAGGCGTTTTTACAACTGAAGTAGGAGAATATGTGTGCTTGAACAGCGCAGAAGAAAAAAGAATCTTCAGCGTAGGTTTTACAATAAAAAAATCATTCATTCCCATTTGCCCCACCAAAATTAAGCCTTGCTTAAAGTTAAGTCGAACTTAAAATCCATGGCAACGATTATTAATACAATGGTTTCTATGGCATTTAAGTGATACTTAATTTTGACGGTGCAATTGGCCATCAGTAATCAAATTTGGATCAATATCGGGTAGATCAGATTAAGAGGACATTACCGGAAGACAACTATCATTAATGCGCATCTGTCGACGGAAGAGAAAGATGAAGAGCTAAAACATATAGCTTATTATTGGCAATATTAACACAAAAATTGGGAGAGAGGATATTTACAAATTACGGGAGGTAATAGTAAACACCAGGAGAGTAATGAAAGTGAAAAAAAATGTATTATGTTCTGTATGAAATGAGAATTATACCCACGCGCTTTTAACACAAAGAGACATTCATAAGGGTACTTGGAATATCTCCAAGTGGTCAAAGGAAAAGGTAATCAATTCGAAATTTTGACTAAGAAGTAAAGAAGGAAACACTTTTCTGTAAAGGCCAGACATTTGCTAAGAGAAAATAGCGATAAATTAGAAGAATGGGCGAAATATTTTGAAGAAATGATAAATCGGTGAAGTAGATAATATTAGAAAAAAGGTAGTGTACAAGAATTTGAGTAGGCAAGATGGAAACACTAGGTATGAAACCATACAAAGTGACGAAGAAATAAAGAAGAGAATAATGAGATTATAAGAAATTATAAGAGCGCAGGAGAAAATGGAATAGTGGCAGAGTTTCTTAAAGGAGGATGATATAATATTCAAGATAAAGAAGATATGGCAAGAGGAAAAAAACAATTGGGAATGGCACTCCTCTGTTCGATTTTTAAAAAGGACTATGATCAAGGAAAGACTAATAGAGTATGCTGAATCGCTTATAGGAGATTACCAATGTGGTTTCAGGTCATATAGGTCCGTTAGTGGCCAGATCTTCACCCTACAGCAGATAATTAATAACGCAGAAAAATTTAGCCTACCGTTGTACATACTTTATATTGATTTTAAACAAGCCTACGACACTATAAAACAGAAAAAACTGAAAGCTATAAATAAACTAAATGCGCCCAGGAAAATCATTAGACTTGTGGAAATGACTTTGGGAAAAACAGGATGTAGAGCTGTACTAGGTGGAAAAATTTCAAAACCTAAGAGACGGTAAAATTCATGCAAATAATCGTATAATCGAAAAGAAAACAAAGAGGACAGGAAAGAAATTTAAAGATGGGGAAAACCTAGTAATTAATAGTGAAAACCAGAAACTGCACCACTTCACATCACCCAAATGTTCTGCTCCCCGATGGAACATAAACTCGGTTTCGGCAGCTGCTCCACCTCACCTCGCCCAATGTTATTATTAGCGTTATAAAATATACTTTACGACCTACTCTCATACGTACACCGTGACACGAGATTTTTATATATTAAATTTACAGAAATGTCCAGGTCCACAGCAATAATACGAGTATATAATAATATAGGCTAGACATTTTTCAGGTTCAGGTTCGCCCTTTTTGGACATAACTTAATGCTCGACTTAATGTATATTGGGCAAAGTGCAACACCATGTGGTAGATATCAAAATTGCAGACTACTTCTCGGTTTTTCTCAGCTACTTAAGTTTTCCAAAAGAAAAACTGTGAACTAAGCTAAACTAGTGGCCAATCTCTGGTAAATTTGAAAGTGCTACATTGTTGAAAATATTTCAGTGGAAATTTTCAGTTTTCTATTTACACCAGTTCTCCACAAGCATAAAACATCAACATCAACATAATTAAATGAATCCGAACATTTTTTTTTCATTTAAACTAATCGAACTAGCAGATACATATATTCATGGAAAATAATGTAAGTACCGACTCAAATAAGAGACTTCAATAATTTGACCGATCGGTCTTAATTAAACATCAAAAAATGATACAACACAAAACGTAGGTATAAAAAACATCCACTTACCTTGCAACGGTTCCTCCCGCTCCGAACCATAAACGGATCTCCAAACGGAAGTTTTCTGAAACAAAAAGTTAGTTAACGCAACTGGTTTACATATGGCCAAATAACATAAAACTTATGCACACAAAGAAATGAAAATATTTCAGTCTAACAAGATTGGCTCTCATCGAGTTTAAGTTGATTACCAACCTTTCTACCGCGTGGATTTGGAATAATCTTATCAAAACACGAACACCTGTTTTCATTGTGCGCATTTACAATATTTTGTATCTTGTCTTGTCTTCTCTACTACAGGTCAGAATAAAAGTCGCGACCTTGATGTAGATTAAATCACTTTTTGAGGCTGAAAAATTTAATTTCCTCGAGCTCACTTGTGGAAAGAATCCTTTTCCAATCCTTCGTTTAGCTTTAGGGTAATAATACAGGGGCCGAAACTGGCTCTGGCGTATTCAAACAAATTTGGTTTCATGACGAAGTAATTAATTACAAAAACGGCCTCAAAATAATTTCTCAGCCTGTGCCAATCATTACGAATTGATTGAAGTACCCTATCAATGGAATGAATTTAAAAAATCCACTTGCAATTGCAGAAAGAAATCATTTAAATTAGCGGCAAAAGTGTAGTTTTCATTTGCGCATTAGTATAAAAAAAGTCTATAGCGATCAAAACGAAAATGTGATGAACAAATTTTCAAAATTTCCATACCTTTTCCACTTTCTTAATTGTGGTTTTGGACGGACCCTCTTGCACTACACAAATCATAAACACAACTGCTAATTCAAGCGGTACGTTATCTACATCACCACATGTGAGGCAGGTACACTTCAAAACACGTGCGCAAAAGACGCTCAGAATTAAAATTTAATGTCATAACTCGAAACTAGTTTCCTTTATTTTGTACAAATTTAACCCGAGACCGTCAATTTTATTCTATGACTCACATAATGTTATCGTTATAATTTAGTGGAACATTCGTTCCTCATTTTTGAACAATGAATTTTCCAAACTCTTCAGCATCTCAATTACCCAATGTCGATAATATTGGATTTGCAAGGCAAAGTCTACTTTCCAAACTGATCATTCGGGCACTCATACGAAATGACCACTACACGAGTAAGTCAAAACTAAAGAAACACATCATTTTGATTCAGCAATCCACGCAGTTTACAAAATACGGAATAGATATGGTTAATTTACAATTCGTAATGAAAACAACGGAAAATACGTGGATTGGGGTTAAATTCAAGATTGTTAGATTGTTGAACACAAAAATATTGAAACCAAAAGAACCCATTTCCAAAATTTATTTTGATGTAGGTAATTATGCTAGCGAAAGTATTTGTTGGATACATTCGAGATTTTTAAACAAATCGATAATGACGTATTCAAACAAGTTTGGATGCACGACGAAACGATATGACTACTTCGTTGCACCATTTTTATAAAAACTGGGGGCAAATCATTTATAAAAGTTGCATTTCTCAGCAAGATGATTTATTCTATGCAGTCAGTAAAAGTGAAGAAATTGTTTGGAATGGCAAAGAAACTCACAAATCCAGAAGCTGTACAGTGTACACTTCCATTTCTGCACAGAATCATTGGGATTAGTGACTTATCTACATCTATTCATTGCAGTAGTAGGTACATGATTGAAAAGACTTTAATTTGATGGACTAGCAAGTTTCCATACCTTTTTACTTTCTTGATTGCAGTCTTTGTTGGTCCCTTTGCACTTCACAAAACACAAATCACAACTGATGCCAATTCAAACAGTATACGTTATCTACATCAACACATGTAGGGCAGATACGCTTCAAAACACGTGCGCAAAAGACGCTCCGAATTAAAATTTAATGCCATTAACTCGAAACTAGTTTCCTTTATTTTGTACAAATTTAAACCTGTGGCCATCAATTGCATTTTATGAGTTTACATATTGTTATCGTCATAATTTGGTAGAACATTCGTTCCCCATTTTTAACATCTTTGAACGCTTATAAAAAATGATACCCGTGACAACTATACCTAATTTTCCAGCATTTCAATTACCCAATCTCGACACGGATACAAAATGGCCAATATAGACCAACACTAAAGAGACATATAATTTTGAGAATTTCTTATTATAGAAGCATTTTATTGTATAATCATATATGCAATACCGGGACAATAATTCTTATAAAGAAGGGTGGGGAGAAAATTTGCAGCATTTAGTTTAGGTTTTTGATGATCAAAAAGGAACAAATACTGTAAATCCAAACGTAGAAAAAAAGTAACTCGTACGGGAATTTCTGTATTCTGGAGGTGTAATCCCTTTGGGTTCCATCCTATCCCAAGAAACCATGCCCTCGGTGGCCTATAGGTAAAGGCGAGGGTAAAGGTTACATATCTGAACCTCCACCGTGTAGGAAAGTGTGGGGTATTCTCATCCACCACTTCTTATAACTTTATGAGTCGATTTTGTAAATTTAAATTACCTTTTAAATGTCGATTTTTAATGCCTAACCTGTTTCGAAGAGTTTATGTATTTTCGTGTTCAACTTTGAAAAATAATAATAATTCCGTATTTTTGGATACTGCATTAATAAGTAACAGAGAAGGCCAATTCAAATAAATGGAATGTTTTTAAACTTACAAGAAATTCATCAAGTAACGATTTGCAAGATTCTGGCGCTGTGAGCTTACAAAATCAACATTTTCAACGTTTTCAATAATGGCTCAGGAGCTCAGGACTAAATGATGTAAGTAGGTACCTAAGTCTGATTTTTGGAATGGTATAGTTTATTCATAGTAAAATAAGCATGAGCTCTTATTCATAAAAATGAATTTACAACGTGAATTACACACATTAATTGGCAAATGGAAATATTGCCCCTAGAAGGGTATAATTGGCTTTGAAAGCAGTTTAGGTATTATAAATGACATCATTTTAATACGGATTGGGGTTAAATTTTCGCATTAATAATTTGGGGTTGGTGTCTGAAGGCCTGAAGCCAAAAGTTGTTTCTTTTAAAAATACCTTTCTAACGATACCCCACTTGATCGCCCTTAAAATTACAAAGTTGACTCCAGAAATAACTTCCGGAAACCGAAAATATCAAAATTAGTTTCTCCATAGGTATAGCTTTTAGTTATTAATATTTTTATTTCAACTTTCTTTCGTGTAGGTACTATATCGGAGAAAAACCATCAAGCGAATAGACAACGAAAAACGTCTGTCGATGACCCTATTTTCTCCAATGTCATTTTAAAGTTTATGGCGCACGTTTATTAATAATAAATAAATAAACTTATGTTTGTTGTGTTGTCAAAATTTGAAAAATTACATAAACATAGATTGGACTCTTCAACAGACGTATGATATACGTTTATATCTTAACTGTAACCTATCTAAAAAGGAAATTGCTGTGACAGGTCGCTTATTCATCTTCCAACAAAATAGCGCACAGTCTCAAACTATTTGCAAGAATACGTTTCAGAATTTTATCGGAGCCCTCAATTAGCTTTGAGTTTAATCCCTTTGATTCATAATAAATTTAATTGATTAAATTTAGATTTTCTTAAATTAAAAAAAATGTATTCTTTTGAATTAAAAAATAAAAATAATATATACGCCCTTTCAGTAGGTATGTCTTTCATTTTCCTCATGCTTTAAGTTTCAAATTTTTCATCAAAATCCGAACAAATTATACAAGTTATTTAAGATCAAAAAGCGTTATAATAAATTTGACCTAACGCATATGGTATATATCTTGTCCAGACGTCCACACCCTATCGTGTACGCCAGGACGGCCCTGGATAAGATGGAACATAGAGATAATATGTCTACGAAAATACGAGTACGCCATCTACCAAAAGCATTCCTAAACACCAAAAAAGTATAAATTCATAGTGTACAGAATTCGCAGTAATTATATGGTAGATGGCGCCTTCACGTCTGGTAGTAGCCAATATACTCACTGCGCAAGCGCATTTCAGTCGATAGCGTTAATGGCGAGTGCAAAGTCCCAGTTCTAACTATGTAGTTGAGATTTTAAATTTACAACTCAAATATTTAGAAAAATTAGTTAGGTAATTGTGAACAATTTAGGTGTAGAAGTGTTTTACTTTAATTTATAGTTACCATGGATAAACACTATTTAACTACGGAACAATTAGTCGGTTTCGAAAATTATAAGGTTAGAACAACCCTTCTCTTTGATTTTGTCCCTAACACCCCTCCTACCAAATGCTGAGTAATTTTTGTTTTAATGCATTTGTGCCAAGCTGTAAATTCAAATTAATTATGATTCATAAGGTTTTTCCCACGTTTTGAATTGTAAACATTGATCATATTACCTTGTCAACTTTTTGGTGGTGGATAGATGGCCATGTGAAACAAATGATCATCAATTGTCAATTTATTCAACTATTTTAAGACTTCACCAGGTATCCTGATAAGAAAAGTTTGCCATTTGTTTCAACTAAACGGTTAGGAAGTTTATTAAATTTTAAGTGCTCATTTAAAACCAATTACATCGTTTTAATTGCCGTATTACATTATTTTTACAATGTCGTTAATCCAGTTTTTTAGTAAAGATTTATGTTTACAGTACAGCTGCAAGGATACGAGCCCGTTGAGCAAATATGTCATGCACCCGTATTGGAATTGCGTGGTGGAGGTTTGTATACATCCGTCATTTTAAAATCTACCCACTATTGTTTTAGTATTGCCCCAAGTGGGTTGCTCCCAACTTATTGACGTTTATTGGTTTCCTATTTGCGGTCGGGATATTTCTCTTGTTCACCATCATGGATTATTATATATTAGCGTCTGATGATGATTATCCTGACGTTTCACCTTTACCCAAATGGACATTTATTGTTGCCGCAATTTTTATGTTTGTAGCGTATACATTGGGTAGGTACGAAACAGATTTGTGTGTCTTTTGAGTAACTTAATTTTTAGATGGAATTGATGGCAAACAGGCGAGACGGACTGGAAGTAGCTCACCGTTAGGTGAACTGTTTGATCATGGTATCGATTCCTACACGGCATCGCTGATACCGATTACTGTCTTTTCTGTTTTTGGTCGTGGTGAAAAATTCAGCCTCAATTCTTACCATATGTATTTCTTATTGTGGAATATTCTGATCAATTTCCATTTATGCCATTGGGAAAAGTATAATACTGGCGTTTTATTCTTGCCGTGGGGATATGACATCACAATGTGTATCACAGTCATAATGTTTATAATCACTGGAGTAAGTACATTGAGCTCTACCTACATAACAAACCTTGTAGTCACAGTTCCAGTACTAGTTAATTTTAAAGTGAGTAATTCAGGAGGTTGGAATATTTTCTTACTTGTGTTGTAATTACAAAAGCATGTACTAATTTAAATATGAAATGATCACCCCTCAGTCTCTTATTGATATTATTTCAGATTTGGGGTTACCAAATGTGGCAGTTTGTACTTCCAGGAGGTATTACTCTTGGAAAACTTTTGGAAATAATAATTTATGGAACCGCATTGTTGTCAAACCTTCCAACAGTTTTATGGAACGTGTACCTCTCGTATAAAGATCGCACAGGGTATGGAAGATCATTGCTTGAAGCACTACGACCTTTCTCTTCTGTTGTCATATTCTTTCTCATCTGTATGGGATGGGTTTTAAATTCTCCCGGTCAAATTTTAGATACGGATCCTAGGCCAATTTTTTTTATAACCGGAACTATTTTTTCAAACATATGCGTAAGTGTTGATTTTTCATGGCGATTGTTCTTGACTGTTTTGTTTTAGTGTCGTTTAATAGTAGCCCAAATGAGTAGTTCGAGAAGCGAAGCTTTCAATATGTTGCTAATACCTACAGCTCTTGTAACTTTTTTAAGTGTGATAACGAGATCCGCTCGGCTAGAATTTGGATTAGCTTATAGCTTATGCGTTTTTGTGGCTTTAGCACATGTACACTACGGATGCTGTGTGGTATGTTTTTCACTTGACAACTGATCTTTCTTATTGAAATTTATAGGTGCGGCAAATGTGCAGACATTTCAGAATAAACTGTTTCAGTTTGAAACCGCATGCAGATTGACTACTTGCAGACAACGCATGATGTGGTATCAAGCGTTGTCCCTCGGGCATTTGTTTTCTTTTTTTTGTTCTTTAAAAGATTAGTTGCATTTACTTTTATTGTATTTGATTATTCTTCTTTAGGACAATGTTGTTATTGTTGTTGGTAGGTTATAATTAGATTAGGTTTTGTTTTGTGCGAATTAAAATTAAGTTATGTTATTGCCGATACTGAGGGAAACGTTTTGTGTCAATGATGTGACTATTTTTAACCTCGCTCTCTAAATTAGAGGTGCGTTTATGCAAACATTTTCCTGACATCGAATCATTTTAACCCGACTTGCATTTGTATTAACAATCTTTTGAGAGATCTGATAATTGACATGAATTTCAATTATACAAATAATGTCTTTTTACCCCCACACGATTGAAGTTCCTTTTGCATAAACCCACCTTTAAAATCTTGCTTAACGCAATTGCGAGAATACACTTTCACATAAGCATTCGGGCACTCTTTACAGGTAGAAAGTTATCACATTTACATTAGGCATATAATGTATTATGATTTTATCACAGAATTTCGCCAACTCTGCTACCGCTGTAGGTTTAGCAAGTGCCGGGTACCTACACCAGTTGTTGTTAAGCACAGGTCGACTAATTTGTTTAAATTGTATCTTAAGATAAAGTTGTATGTACTATGTACCAACATTAATTACATAATGTAATCTTTAGTTAGTTTATCCAAATTTGAGTTTGTGGAATACTAAGTCAACAATGCATTTAAGAATAAAATTCAATGTACAAATTATAATAAGGCTACTTAAAAAGTATTTATTGTATATTTTATGTACATTCAATTCTGATACCACTACAATTAAACATATTTATTAAGTTGGTTTTGAACCCATATATTGTAATTTAATTTTTTCGCGATCCTTTACTTCTGGTAGATATGGTTTTATGTCTTTTCTTCTCCTGTCTGCTCTCACCCTACCCTAATACAATAAATATTAGTCAATCTAAAAGTTTGACTGGCATACCCAAGGAGCCGGGAGGGGATTCTGTTTTGCAATTAAAATTGTGGTGCACAACAGAACTGGATACTAATTAGTATATTGACAGTGTAAAATGATTTTTGGCAAAAGGAACAAGACACTCAATTTTTTTTCTTTCCCTTTCCACTGTGTAGTCACCGAGGGAATTAATCTCCCTTGAATACCTCGACCATTGTTATTCTGGGATATGTGTTGGCTCAGTCTAAGTAATTACAAATTATTGTGCAATTTCCAAGTAATTCTATACATTGATGTTGACTCTGTACCTTTATGATACGTTTATGATGTTTATATTATTACTTTTGACCTTAAACAACTCTAACTCTTTTTTTTGTTGACTTAAGATGGATCTAAGCAGGGTCATTTTTATAAAGGCTTTCTTTTAGGTCGTTGCAAAAATTACTTGATTAGGTAATACTTAAATTCAAAAATTAGGAGTTAGGAAAATGAAAGACATTCTGAAAGGGCATATACAGGATCGCTGATAAGCCTGGGAACTGTCGATTATCGGGAAAATATGCAAGATATCAAAAAAGTTTTGGGGTTCTTCAATGTCTATTAGGCAATAACAATTTTAGTTATGCAGGGCTGGTCAATACAGGTATAGCACATCAATATTGCATTTTTTTTAATGGAACACCATATACATACATTATTAAGCAGCAGAGAAAAAAGATGAAAGCTTTATAGGGGAGTCGATGGTGTCCTTCTGTCCGTGAACACGATGACTGTCAAACGCTTGGACCGATTTGGTTCAAACTTTGCACAGTTGACCTATATGCCACAAGTAATCAACCATGATCAACTTCATATTTTTATATGAACCAGAGAAAAGTACATACATACTGCATTGAGTAGCATTTGTTATTACGAATACAACGATGCATGGTACAATATGATTCTTTATTAGGTATGTCATTTAAACGAAACCATCAATGAATTAGTTTGACATTTTATCAACCTTAAACAAATGTAAGTGTTGATGTTAAATAGCGGGGGTCCAGAATGGGAATATGCAACTTTTTTTCTAATTTAACCAACTGTGTAGGTATTTCTTATGGTTTCCAATTTCCCTATGCTGTTTATTCTTATCTTGGATACAATTTCTCACTAGCAGCTCTTTTAAGTTCCGCAAATGCGTCGTTTTGGCGCCAATAGGACATCGTTGTGTTGCCGCGGCTGTAGTAGTTTTAACGCAATAATGTGAAACACAAAAGAAGTGTTGTGTGAGAGAATATATCTCAAGAAGAGAAAAGTATGGGGCCTACCATAAATTATTGATGAGCTGAGATTCGGAGAATCAACCACAACAACTAAACAATTTTATTCGTATGTCATCGAATACTCATATGTCTATGGGTAGACCTTGAGGAAGCACATGGTGAGCTGGATTTTCGCCTGTTTAGACTGGCAAAAAAAGTGTCGCGAGTTCTGTCAAATGAACTCGCAATAGCTATTTACACTTGCGACAGTAGTGTCCGACAGCAAATCGCGCGAACTTTCTCGCTAGTCTAAAGGCACCATTATAAACAAATTGAATATTTGAATAGAATAGTACCATAATTTAACGCAATGTCTCGCGCAATGTGGCAGCACCCTTCAAGTAATTCTGTGGCACTTTAAAACCATCACCATACGAAAAGTCAGATTAAGTTTTTTACAAATAACATTAATCTAGTTGAATTGATTATTAGTTAAAGGGCCTAAGTGATATTTGCTAGTTTTGTGATAAACCAAACATGTTTTTTGTTGAGAAACCTGGACATTTTTTACATTTTATATTGTTTATTTATAGTATGGTTTACTATAATATAATGGAGAATATAATATAAGAAATGCCCAGATTTCTCAACAAAAAACATGTTTTGCAGTTTATCTCCAAATTAGCAAATATCACTTAGGCCGTTAAGAAATAATCGATTCAATTGTATCCCTTCCTTACCTGAATGAAAACAAGTTATCCTGATGGAATGAGGTATCCGAGGGATATTAATTCTGTCAGCAACAGTACATATTTCTTCAAAAGACCTGATGAAAAAGTATTGAAAAGTTCTTCAAAGGAGATGGTAAACGCCGAAAGACTGTATTCAAAGGAAACCTACCCAAAATGATTTACATTCTTTATAATTGTACATTTCCAATTCGCATTTCTCCTTATTATATTGAAATTGGTCTAAACATTTGTATGTTATAAGCTGTTCCTTCAAGCATGGATTGTGTTTCTCTTGATCATAGTTCATTATACTGTAATTAAAATAACGAAATAATTAAAAAATTATTAGAACATAACAGACAGTCACACTTACACACTTTGAAGGCGGTAGCTACTTTACCGATTGTTCAGCAGTCCTTAAAAGGTGACAATTTCAGCTAGCACTTCAAAAACCTCGAGACTGATTTTTTTAAAATGTCAATCTATTCCAAATCCCTACTCAACTTAATTAGCTGCGCATCCAGTTATCGCAATATTGAATCGTTAATTGAAGTTTTCAGTTGAGTTGGTTTGGAACCACTGACATTCATTTACTCATACCAACTTCAACAGCAACACTCATATGTGTCGGTTGGTGACTATCGTAGAAAGAATGAGGTACAAACGTAAATAAATTGGAATTTCTTCCTTTATGGTGTTTTTTAATTTATTTTTCTTTGTTCAAGAAGTACGAAAACAGTATAATTAATGTTGAAAGTGTACGTGCAAAAAGATTTTTATCATTATTTTTTAATGTAAGGGGAAAATGTCTAAAAATAAAATTGTAATAAGAGGTGCTGTGATAGACAGTAACATAATCGAAGTAAAGAGCAAAGTAAGTACTTGTGTTTGTTACACTCAATTTCAACCCTATCAGAAAATAAGGCAGGAGTTCATTTACCTTAGCTAGTCACTTATGGTTATGCCTTCTTTTGGGAAAGAGAGCATGAATCATTAGATTTTTAATGAATTTCTTTATCAGTTTGATGCAGAATTTCGAAGATTTTCAATTGAGAGACATCAACAGGTGAAGTTCGAAGATTTTAAGGGGCTACTCGAACGACTGTTTAAAATTAAAGATATTTCATTTCTGGTGTCGTACATTGATCCGAGCGATCAAGATTTATTACCTATTAATAATGACGACAACCTGCGAAGAGCGCTAATTACTGCCAAACCGTTGCTGAGGGTTATTATTCAAAGGAAAGGTAAGATTACGAAATAATTATTTGTCTTTGATTTATTATGTACCTAAGCTAATGTAATGTTTTTGAGCAGTGCTGTCAAGATAATTTTCGGTGTAGGAAATTTTATTAGGTGAAGGTTAGTTATTGTAAGTGTGCTTCGTTGACTCTTTAGTTATGAGTGCTTGTTCACAATGGACATAAGCGTAACAAAAACATAACAGATGCATAATTCATAATGTTGAATAGTAGCAAACCAACGTAGGTGTTCACAATGATTACATAATTTTTATTTTTTTGTAAATGTTTGCGTATGTTTTATGTCCTACCGAAAGGGTACATAAAAAATACATAAAGTTGGGTCGGTTTCAACTTTACGTAGGTTTTATGAAAAATCTAGTGGAATTAGGTGTATTTCTGTTGGGTACAAAGATGCAGCACTGCGCTGTTGGTTTGACATTCAGTTACTACGTCTAACGTCGATGACATCTCTTCTGCCAACATAATCTGGTTATTTTTAAATTGGTACATAGTTTTTGGCGCATTATTTCATAGTTTGGTGTTGTTTGGTCCTTCGTGTGTTGTTCTTTGATTATATTCAACACGGCATGGAAAACATATAGACGTCGAATTACTGATTAGTTTGGTGCGATTAAAACCCTAATTGTTTAATAAAGGGGACAAAAGACCTATTAAGGTGATCGAATAATCCTGGTGTATGAAAAAAACCATTCTTCATCATGCAGCTTCATTTCTAGACACGCTTAAATTCTTAAATTCTCCCCTTTTCTCTCGGTCTCGATTTATAGGTCTGACCCACCAACGCCGTTTTTGTTTTGTAACAACTTTGTCTCTCTGTCTTCTTAACAGTAAAAGCAATAAAACTGTTGAAATTTCCATCCAAGTGACACACACATATACACCACAAATAATATTGCTATGTTCTTGACGTTTTGCCGAGTTTAAATTTTGGATTTGCGCCTACGCAGATAATTATAATCTTACGGTCACTGTGAACAGCGTAAAATTATGTCTTATGTCAATATTATGTTTTATGTATCTGTTATGTTTTTGTAACGCTTATGTCCATTGTGAACAAGCACTGAGAGAAGAGTGTTGACAACATAGCCTTCAAACAATTACCCTAAGTTGTAAATCCACTTGTTCTTTTCAAAGCAAGTCTCAGACCATTTTTTAATACATCCGCCAATTGCGCTGAGGTTGTATTAAAGTATGGTTCTGGGAGGCTGCAGCTTGTTTTTCAGCTCAGCCTTGCTGTTGTCTGCTGCTCGAGATTGCAGATCAAATTCGACCTGACTGAGGGAGAAATCACAGTAATCCAGTGTATATGTTATGGATAAAGTGTTTACTTGGCTAGTTTATATACTAGCTGGATCATCATTGTATATACACCTTACTTATATACAATAATAGTATGTAAACTATCCAAAAAATGGGAAATTATCGTTTCACTAAAGTCGCTACGAATATTGGTTAGTTTGTATACCATCCAATTAGTCTATAAAGTATACAAGATTTATCGCTAAAGTACAAATCACAAGAAAATTGTGGAAATTAACCAGACTATTTGACTTGTTCAAAAACTATCCACAGTATAGTTGGATAAAGTGTGAACTCAATAAGATTGCAGGCGTCTGTTGCATGGACCCCCCCCCCCCCCCCCATGGTTTTTAATCCCACCAGTAACACCTTTTACAACTCCAAATTTAAGAATTTTTTTTATTTCAAATTGTCATAAGTAAACAAATAAAACAAACTATACATTCTTGCAATATAAGTAATATAAGGGTAAATACAGTGCACTTAATTTAATAATTGAAACATAAACATCAACATCGCTGTTTACACATAAATAGTCAAAACAAGAAAGTTAAACATATTTTTCTGATTTTCTTGCAAGTGTTAGTAGTTTTTTTTTTGTTTTTTAATACAAAATCATAGAAATCCTATTTGTGATTTTGTCATATTTAAAAATTAAGGTGTTATTAGGTGCTTCAAAAGGAATCGTTTGACCTATTTGAAAAGTATTAAATTGAAATTTATTGTTCTGCCGGAGTTATATTCGCGCCTGCCGGGGGCCGGAGAGCACGATGTAAAACCTGAGACTCCGGCTGAATGCCTGACATCTGGCAACCCTGTCAATATTCCTAGTCAGTAATGCATAATAACCAATTCGTTGGTTAGTATGTAAACTAACCAATCCTCTTTGGTTAATTTAGTTTAGGATAGTAAAATAATTCTTGATTAATAGTAGATTACATACCGAGCTGGGAAGTGGTTCATTACCTATGCCGAGGTATAAGCGCGAGGCGTTGGTTATGAACCACCGACCAGATATCTTGAGGAAATCCTAATTGTTTTCCAAAAAACTATCAGATATCCCCTAGATGTCTCAGAAATCCAAGGATATGCTGTGAAATTCCGAGAAAGTTCAAAGATGTCTGGTGGATCCATGGATTTACACACTAAATAGATGTTTGATGTACAAAACTTTATCTGTAATTTCCCCGTTAGATCTGTTAGAGAGGGACACTGATGCAATTCATTCTACATCCTTAATAATTATATTATAATTATCAACTTTTCTATAACAGGTTGTAATTATACCAGTTTCTGCTTATATAATAACTTCTGATTTTTTTGTGACACCTACCTGTTAGACCCGTACATTTTTTGTCTTTTAAATTGTTTGTTAATTTTCTATCATTAAATTGTGTGGAACTTGACGTTAATTTTGGTTATGACACATTCAACTCAACAAATGATTTAATGATCACTTTAGAAATATTTTTGATTCAGCTGCTAAGGGCTCAAAACGATTTAATAAAGGAACAAGTTTTTATTATACCACAATCTCCATTTTGAACACTCAAATACATGCCAAATCGGGCCTTTAAATCACTACCTACTGCCTTAAAGGTTGCCAAGTAATGTTCTTGAAAATATGATGAATGGCCGAACTAAACAATCTCTTTAAGTCGCTTTCTGTAAATACAAAAGCATTCTTTTGCTTGTACCTATCCCCACAAATGCGTGTAGGGTACGCCAAATCTGTTCCATATTTTAATCGCCGCATTGTTTGCAAGTTTTGAATGAATGCCCAAATGGATAGAAGCTGTAAATACATTTGACATTTCCTTCATATATGCCAGCATTATTGATACATTTAAGACTTGGTTCCTAAGATCCATCTTAGTCATCCACCGCCAACTACTTTTTATATTCTTCGCAATGGGCTTTACTGGATTTTGTAGGTACCAACTTTTCTTCTGCTTCTGCCACAAACCATTATTATATATAGTATTATATTTTTCAATCAAATTCATATTCTTTCGAAAAACAGTGATTTTAGTTAATACACAAACTTCAAATGGCATTTGCATGGCAATTATAGAATTTCGAATAAGTCACCTACTCAATCGGAACTTTAAAGCCTTAGAATGTCGCCTACAACATGTTATATGCAGAAAAATCGCTCTACCAACCCTCAGGAGTGTGAAAAGGGAATTTACACATTTTTTGTTGTTTTTTTTTAAATGAGATTATAAGTTTATCACTAAACAATTTTTCATTTTCAGGAGACATTTTCGATGGACCAAACGGTTATGGGACAATTAAACCTCGTAATCTCATATCGAGCATTCTTGGGGGTACGCCGGGTAGGAATAAAAATTTAGCAATTTCCAATCCGCACGATTTTCGACAGGTCTCGGCAATTATAGACGTCGACATAGTACCGGAGACGTGTCGTAGAGTACGCCTCCTTAAGCACGGTTCGGATAAACCGCTCGGTTTCTACATAAGGGATGGTACGAGCGTGCGCGTTACACAGAACGGTTTGGAGAAAATTCCGGGTATATTTATCTCGCGACTTGTACCGGGCGGGTTGGCGGAATCGACCGGTCTGCTGGCGGTTAACGATGAAGTATTGGAGGTGAACGGTATCGAAGTTTCTGGGAAGACGCTCGATCAGGTGACCGATATGATGGTGGCGAACTCATCAAATCTCATAATTACTGTCAAGCCTGCAAATCAACGGACGGTGGCACCAGTGCGAAGAGGCAGTTTTAGTAGAAATTCGCAATTATCCAGTGGATCTCAACAGTCTGCCGGAACTGCACCTTCCGATTCTGAAGACAAATATGACCAAGATGAAATTGTGGATTTGACCGGTGTTACATTAGAGGAAACAATTACGAGAGACGATGGTGTGCTTCATTTGTAAACCTTCCCTAATTTGACTACTTTATTCTTCGCAAGCCAACAGTACTTACTAGATATGTTATTGTTATAGGCGAATCGATTTGAGAAACACTGAAAGTGAGTACTTTTTATTTGGCTCAAAGATATATACCTAATGTATTTAAGTACTTCGTATTTTCTCTTCCATACTCGATCAAAAGTGTTTATTTATATGTTGTTTTGTTAGTTGCGGGATAGATAATTGCAGTATTGTATTATTAATTTTGAACGTACCAAGGTGTCAATTTATATACCTACCATTTTTTATGCGTTGAAATCTCGATAAATATTAAGTCTGTACATATATCAATTCTAGCTGCATGGAGGTAGAATGGCTATATTTTATTATGTTTTACCTAATAGTGTGTCTCTTTTTTGTTGGTATGATTGTGAAAGACTTCAAATAACAAATTATCCGTCCGTTTGTGGCCTTTTTAGTACTTATGCAAGTGAGGCATTTCTTAATGATGATCGACTGTTATATTTACATTCCATTTTTACATACTATACAAATATGGTTAGTCGCATCACGTGTACTTATTAAAATGATTAGAAATATATATTTCCAGTTAAGTTGGTTTTGTTTTAATGATGTTCATCGTCGGCAGGTTGCTTCACCCAATATCCCCATGGTGCGAAATGATCGTGGTGTTCCGAAGGTCCTCTATACACTTTTATTTGAACACGTCCATGATCTAAAATAATATTTCTCTTAAACTAGGCATTGAAATTGAATACTTACGGTCACCGGTTGCTGCCGATTCTGAATCCTCATAAGCCGGCAGTGCAGTTGTAATAGCCACAACGAAGATAAGGTAATAAAGGAACTGAAAATATTGACAAAATCAATTGGAATTCTAAATTTGACGATTAAGTACTCACTCTTAACAACATGATTGCAGATGTAGTCTGGAGATATAACTTGCTTGAAGTTCAGTTTAGATTTTATATATTACCTATGGACCACTAGAGCGTAACGCTCCTTTCATTGTGGTAAAAAGGTATCATTTTGGTTTTAGTAAGTGAAAGCATTTTCACTTTTCTATTCACTTTTGCTGGTTTTTACCATAATCTGTACATGACTTCTATAAATGAACACAATGATGCATGTCGCACTTAAAGCGCGCAAATTATCGACAAATCATTTTCTTGTGCCGCCTGAATTTTTATTAAACGGCAAATACTTCTAATGTTTTTATCTTGTAAACATTGAATTTTGTTAACAGGCCAAATGATAATTCCTTTTGATTCTAGTAAATTTTTAAAGTCTTCTCTTTCAATATTAAATTCTTCACACTCATATATCAAATGTTCTGCACTTTTTATCCCATTTTCACACTCGCACATATTTGTTTCACTTTTTCTAATTTTACACGAATATGAATTGAAAAGTCCTCTATTTGTAATAATTTGTATAATTCCTCTAATACTCCAAAATTTCCATTTTAATCTATTTTTGATATTTGGAATATATTGAAATGTTTTCCTTCCCTTGTCAGATTGATTCCATTCCTCTTGCCATTTATTTATATAATAATTTTCAATTTGTTTTTTAATTTCAAATCTTGCTAATTTTCCTTCTTCATTTTCTAAATTTTTATGGGCTTTCGCTGGATGTCCAAAATCAATTTTCGTTTTATTTATTATATATGTATTATAATTTATAATATTTTCTCCCAAAATAATATTTTTATCTTTCCTTAGATTATATAATTTTGAATTTTTTGATCTATTTTTAATGTAATGGACATAATTCCTGATATTACTGTTACCGAATTTGTTGCTGTCCTATCGTACATATTGAAAATTCTTCTTAAAATATAGGATTAAATACTTATAATTTTTTTTCCTTGTATTTTTTTAATCCTTTTTCCCCATATTACAGATCCATACAAAAATGCAGGTTTTAATGCACCCTTATAAATTGTAATTAAAGTTTTTTTATTTAATCCCCAATTATCTTTGCATGTCCAAATATATTTTTGAAGGAGTTGTTTTATTTTACTAGAAATTTTGTCTATGTGCATGTTAAGTTTTAATTTTTCTTGAATTGTTATTCCTAAATATTTTATATTATTAACCATTTTTATTTGTTTATTATAAATTTTTATTGTAGGAGGTCTCTTAATATCGAAATTTCCTTTAAACAGTATCATTTCGGTTTTTTCATGAGATATCGTTAATTTATTTTCGGTGCACCAATTTTCAAATTTTTCATTATTTCATTTCCAGTATCTTCTAATTTTTTTCTCGAGTTTTCTTCAATTATAAAAATTTTATCGTCTGCATATGCGATTTCCTTAACATTCTCTTGAAAACTATTGTTAAAAATAATATTCCAAAAAGTAGGTCCTAATACTGATCCTTGTGGACAACCTTTACTAATTTCTTTTGTTATTTTTTTTCGTCGAATATCTATTTTTGTTATTTTCTATTATAATTTTATCTTGTTTTCCAAAATTTATATTAAATGTAATTACATTATGATCACTTACTGTTAAATTTTCATGAACTTTCCAATTAAAAATGTTATCAATCAAATTATTTGTAATTAAAGTTAAATCAATATTTGTCAATCCATTTATATTTATATTTATATGGATTATTATTGGTTTATTTGAAATTACTAAATTATTTTCTGCAATAAATTGTTCCATTTTTTTTCCTTTTCCGTCCGTAATATTATTAAACCACATTGTAGATTTTGAATTTGAATCCATACTTATTATAACCCTACCATTTCCTAAAATTTTTAATATATTTTCAATTTCCTCAATATATTTTTCAATTTCTTCAGAAAATTGCACATAAGAATTTATAATCGTTATCCAGCCTAAACCATTTGTCATTTTTATGACAACAGTATGTGTAGTACAAAACTGTTCCAATTTGATTATTTCCAAATCATTATTTAATACAATTATAGCTGACATTTTTTCCTCGTCAATTTTACCTCCAGTTATTATTTTAGAATTTGGAAAAGCAATTATTTTATGTTTAAAATTATAAGGTTCCTGTATTAATAATATGTCTAATTTTTTATCATTTGAAATTTTGAATAGTTCTCCTGCTACTGTTTTCGAATGTTGTGAATTTATTTGTAAAAATGTAATTGGTTTCTTAAAATTTTGATTATTATTTTTTCCATTTTCCATAATTTGTTCTTTTTATAGATTGATACACCATAACCTTATAAATTGGGCACTCTTCATTTCTCACATTATGATCATGCTATATCTGCATATGTGCTTTTAACTTGCTCTTTATCTATTACAATACATACTTTTAATTTCTTCAATTTGTTTAAACATTACATCCTCATAAACTTTATTATTGTTATCATGTGTTTGAACTACTCCCTCTAAATAAGATAATTTCTGTAAGACTGTGTTAACTAATGTTTTAAGTTCGTTCATTTTTTCTATCAAATTTTTAGACTCTGTTTTATTAATTTTTGTATTAGTATTAAAAGTTAAATCCATGATATGCTTATTTAATTCTTCCATAACTCCCTACGCTTTCTTTCCTTTCTTTCTTTTTTCGTTTCTTTATTTTCATCACCACTATCTCTATTAACTTTCCTTTTTCTATTTAATTTATCATTTAAAATTTCAACCTCACTACATGATGATATTTGTACTTCCATGTCCTCAACACAATTGTCATTGTCACTGTCACTTGCACCGTTCACATAGTCCAAGTCTTTGGTTTTGTCTTTAGGATTCATATTTTTTTACGTAAATTTAAATTCTTATCTTAATTAGCACGCAAATTTCTTTTCTTTCCTTCAAACACCTGGTGGCGTTCCAAACCACTCAAGGTTTAAATTTCACAACACAATCTCAAAGTATATGTCTCCAGCAGTCCAAAAATATATTTCACTTCACTCCAAATTGAAATTTAAGCAGAAAATAAATTATTAAAATTATTGACATATGTCAAGTCTCAACACAAAGAAATTATGGCGTTAAAAACACTCGTTACCATCAAACATTTTAGTCTAAATCATACACTTTTATATCACGAATCTTATTACACTGCCCGTAACTATTAAATCAATTTATTTACTTCGTAAATGAATAACCAAAATTACCACATTACGACATTCAAAATTGACGCATATCCGTTACCATGCATACTATTACAATTTTTTTTGGATTTTCTAGTTTTAGCTTCGTACATCTTAAAATGCAAACCCCTATTTTTGTTATATAATAAATATGGTTTGATTTGGTAAATAAAAAAAAGAAAATATCTGGTATATTTTTAACATATATTGCAGAGGCATTACAAGTTCTTAGAAACTGTTTGTAAGGCCCTTAAAGACTAAAATCCACTTTTAAAGGATTCTAAAAGCCCTTCAAGTTTCAGGTATTAAATACCCTTAAAGATTATTTAAAGCTGTTAAAGACTCTTAAGGGCTCTAAAAGGCATGTTAGAGGGTGTATTACAACCCTTTGAATTTTTTGTCGAAATTGGTTTTGGCCCATAACTTGAGATTGAGACGTCTAATCGAAAAAGTACGAATCGTTTTGGATTCTACGCACCAAAATTAATAAGAAAAAGTTTTTTCCCGAGAAATTTTGGTGTAGTCGATTTTGTTAAAAAAGGCAGGTTATACACTGCCTTTTTTTTTGGCCCTAAGAAAAAATTGTCTGGGATCGACCGGGAAAAAATATTTTCTTATAGAACGTGACCTGTAGAATCCATAATTTCAAACAGTTCCAAGATCCGGCCGTTAGCAGAGGAGAATTGAACACATAATCTAAAAAGAATTGTGTACCGTAACAGACGTCTTCACCATTGCAATTAATCGGACGCGCAGGCAGTCGAAGCGGCTTAGGAAATGGCATGCTTTTGTTTAATAAGTGGCGATGACAGTTGTGTTTGTATAATGTTACTATTGTATTTCGTTTCAATTATAATAATATTTTACATTCTTCTGTGACTCTGGTGTCCCAACATGGGGCATTTGTTTACTTCAAAAAGTGCAAAAGTATATGCAACGGATTAACAAACAAAAAAGTTTCGGTTTTTAAAAAATAACTCCGCAGCAGTTGATCTTATGAAAAAAGGGTTCAAATAAAAGTTAAAGAAAATAAAATTCTTCACATTTTTTGTAGTATGTTCCGAGTTGGAGTGGCGGAAATATGGACATTTTTGTAAAACTCCCAGTTTACTATACTGTCAGGGAGAATAGATACATATAGGGCGGATTTGCCCTCATTCTGCGCATATTTTTACACCCAACCCCTAGTGTATTTTGTATTCTTATTCTTTTTAAGGGAATTGAAAACATTTACCTCGGTTCATTTCCTTACAAATTAAATCAATAATAAACGTCTCTTAGCAACAGACAAAATGTTGTGTTTGGGCCCTGTTGGCTCTGGAAAAACTTTGTTGCTAAAGAAGTTACAGCATTCCGAAAATGTAGACTGCACATCATCGTCAGTTCCAACTGTAGGAACAAACATATGTACAATTAAACGACAAAATTTTACTATGACCATCCGAGAATTAGGCGGAACGATTGCTCCACTTTGGAAGCAATATTTCAACGGGGTCTTGAAAGTTATGTACGTTGTGGACGCTTCGAATTTATGTCAAATTTCTGCCGCTGGTGTGTTATTTTATGAAGTGCTCGCAAACCCTTTGTTGAAAGATGCCAAAGTAAGACACTTAAATGTTTGTGGTGGAGAAGAGATGCACGTTTACTTGATTTTAGTTTCTACTAGTACTATCCAAAATGGATGTTAGTTATAGACAGATGCGTAATGAGGCTTTACTTATGCTGCAAGTTTCTAAATTACAACATGAAGTTCAACAAAATATTCAGATTGTCGAGGCTAGTGCAATTAGTGGAGTTGGGTGTAATGAAATCTACGAATGGTTAATGAAAATGTTTTAACTTATTTCTATTTAGGTTAGGTTAGGTTAGTATCAATTAAATCCCAGATCAATTAAAAGAAATTACTACTGGAATACTTTAATAATTGAAGATGTTGGCGTGAATGAATATGAAGCATCTTTCCAATAGTCTTAAATGCATCGATATTGCTAGCATGTATGAAGGAAATGGAAGGAAGGTATTTAAATCTTCTATCTTTTGGTGCATTCATTCAAAACTTCAAACAATGCTGTGACTAAGAAATGGAACAGATTTGGCAGCATAGTTGAAAGCGGGAATACTTTGAAAAAAGCAGAAAATGTCAAGAAATTGTTCTCGAGAGAACCGTTTTGATAAAAGAAGTAAACCAGAAGGAATATACCCTAAGAAACAATATTGAAGATGCTCTATTTTGTAAAATTAAAAACATTATCGTCTTATAAAAATAGCGAGTTCTGCGATGCATTTAATAAATAAAAAAATAGAAAGTATAATATCAAAACAATATAAGCAAACATAAGTATAGTGCCAAGTCTACTTAGCTCTTGTTAACACGAACACTTTAATATCTACCTCAGATACATCATCATCAACATAGACAAACAGCTTAAAATACTTTTGTTGTTGCAGTCTTTTGATATCACACGTAATTTGTAGGAAATTAGTTTCGCCCGGAGCAAGTAATCCTTCTCCTGGAAAGATCTCCAATATACCCGCCGGTTCTATTTTCGTCTCAAACTGTAGGCTTCTGCTCGAGTGGCTGATGAGAAGAACAGCATCTGTTGTTTTTGTAGGTGGTGTCAATATTATGCTACTCGGTTCGACAACACACGCAGACGTCAGTAATTTACCATTGACTTCCGTGTTCATATGTTCGCAAAGACTGTGAAACATGGAACTTTCATCCATTCCGCCGATTTGTCCTACCAAAGTTCTCTCATCATCTCTCTCTAATGTAACCGTAATTTCGTTAAGATCGAAATTCTGCATTAGTTCTTTTACGCACCCCACGCTCTCTTTGAATTGATTTAAATCGCTCGGCATTTTTTCGTCGGGAAACTTCTTACTCAGCCGTTCCATTAGCGGATTTTCGATTTTACCGTATTCTACTTTGAGCTTGTTACACAACCGCCGAATTCTACCTCTGAGAATTTCCGCGCCCGTCACCATTTGTATACTACCGATTTCCATTACTTGATTATTTGTTTCAAATAAGCTTTTTACATCTTCTTTCGTCGGCGAGTAGGTTAAATTTACTGTTGCCGTTTCTTTTGGATGCAGCACTATTTCGGTTGGATGGATGAGCAGCTTCGACGATTGGTATAGTGCTTTTGTTGTGAATCTGAGAAGCGCAAATGCGGAAACATTTCCTACGTTTTTTATATTGAATTTCTTGTGCAACTGCGAAACATTATCCAGTTTTCCCAATGATAACCACATTTTCATGTTGGTATCTTTAAGAACGTCCTGTATTTCGACGCTAGTAAAGCCTCCGTACGCATACAAATGCAGTACTTGCTTCTTTTGGTACTGCATTTCGAGTTTTTTGGTTGCGGGACTAAATCTAAGCTGCCCTACAGTTGCGCCGATTGACGTAGGGATAAATACTACTCTAAAAGATCGCGATTCAGATGGGTGCATGAATACTGATAATTCCGAGACAGAGTCCAACTCTGAATGGTCGCTTAAAATCCGAAAGCAGCTGTTCGAGCTAGTCATCTGCAATCGCAATTTGTTTTGAGATCTATTACGCAAAATGAAATTTTGAATTTTCCTCTTCCCAACACGTACACATCCCCAAACCAATTCGATTCTATTTGTCTCGATTGGAAGCTTTCCTCCGGGCAGACTGTCTAAACTGCTAGCTGTACGTACTGAGCTTGTACCGGCGTGGCCGACTGAAACTGTATTATCATAATAGGTCAGTTCTTGACTCAGGTTTTCGGAATCCTTCAAAGGTTCAATTACTTTTAAGGTATTTTTGGAAATTTCTAAGAAATGTGAAGGTTCAAGTCTTTGCGGGCGCACGTTTTCTTTCCTTGGTCGGGTGCTTCTAGACTCTCTCTTTTCGGGCATTTTTGCTAAAAACACAATAAGTAAACTGATAATACTCGAATAAATGACATGAGCCAATTACAAAAGCGGTTATATCGAATAAGAAATGTTTGTGGTTTGGATACATTTTAAACATTTTGTTGGCATTAGGATTTTTGACCGTGTGCAAAGAATCAAAGTGGCAAACTCAATGGTAAGCGCAAGTTAAAGTCAAGATGACAGTTTTGTGCTGAAGAAAGAATAAGAAATTTCATAAAATGTTTCAACCACCAAGTGAATTAGCTTTCAGGAGATGGTTAGTTTCCGTTTACTGTCGTGTATAATACAAAACTTTATTTTATAGAAAAAGCCATATAAATCAATGTACATAAAACTTCTGAAAATTATGAATTTAATTTAGATGTCAAAAATAGCAAGCTTAGGTTCTCCCATCGTTTCCACGGAAACAATATTGTTTTCTGTTCTGAACTTCATTTTATTTCGTGCAAAGCGTCCCATTCTTATTAAGAATCCCAACTAAAATGGACAGTCATTTATTTACATTATCTATCCTTGCCATTAAAGTGATCCAGTCTTACTGTTAAAGAGGGACTACTCATTCAAACCTATTAAAGTACATATGAATTTACCATCCGCTATAACATAAAGAAATGTAATCAGGCAATTGACAGAAATTGGATGAGGAATGAGATCCTTATTGTCATTGACCTCTGTGAATGGGGAGCCAGATCGCTGAACTGAAAACAAATTCGATGGAAACAGGTCAGTTTAACAGAAGGATCTGGCTCTGCATTGAAAGTGGTCAATGACACTTAAACAGTTAATAACCCTCTAGCATAAAACCAATGACCTTGAAATTGTCCATGTAATGTGTATTTCAGGTATCGTTGGTTGGAACCTCACCGATAATGCGGGTCCAAGAACTGCCAAAATCTTGCACTCTAGGACAACTGCCAAAATTTGACCCAGGGCAACTATCTAAATAATATGCAGACAACATCAAGTACAAGATGCCAACCATTTACAATGTGTTTGTTTATATATTAAGATTGAATGTATTTCACTCTGTAAACAGATGGGCGAAGGTTGACCCTATGTGGGATCTTAGACTAAAGGTGGATGAGCTGGCAAAACAAGCTAACAGACTGATGCGGTGGTGCCATTTTGTGGACGGATAAAAAGCCACCCTAAATAGGTCCCTTCATAATAATACTAAATAATGCCCACATTATTATTACTATTACTAAATCATTACAAGTGGAGCAAAAAAAACCGAATCTTTACTGTGGACTGCATGTCACAGTAACAGTAATAGCAATTTTTCTCATTTACTGAAAAATTTGTAGAAATGAATATAACCAAACTCTCCAATTCTTACCTATCAAATCAATAATTTTTGCTGTATCATCCTGTGCAGAGAAATTATCTTCCAATTCCGTTACTCCAAACGAAGACTTCACACTTTCAGTCTCCAATTTGGTATCCTCTAAAGTTGTTTGAAGAAGACGAACTGGCATCGCTTTTTTCTCCGGGCTCCTCTTGAAAAGCGATTCATCCAGCGACTCAGACCCCTTAGGAAAGAACTCCGGAACGGTCAATTGGTCTTGAACACTGAATTGCGACAAGATTGAATCCCCACGAATTTTAGCACCGCCCAGCACACTTAACTCCTTCCTCCATAAATTCTCATATTCCGCAAACTTGTCAGCGGCTAACTCACCGGGAACAAAGGATTCTTCGTTGAATTCGACATCTTTGTTAAAATCAGAAAGTCTACAATACTGGTTGCAGAGTTCGGCGAGACTGAGATCCGAATTTCGAACTCGATGTGATAACTCGGCTATACTCCTCGACGTGCTTTGTTTCGTTATGGATACCTTTGTAAAAGCACCCGAAGAGCGAGGTGTAGAAACATCGTCAGGTTTGAAAGATAACTTGGGCCTATCTATCAAGTCACTCTCGTTAACTGTACTGTCAGAAGTTACTTCGCACGTAGAATTGATATATATCTCCGAAGGTTTCAAATAGCGAGATGGTAAACATAAATCTTTTGAGGTATTGATTGAGGATCTTTGTCGTACTTGTGTAATGCTCGTCACTTCGGAAGTACTAATAAGAGAATTTAATCGAATATCGTCTACATTTAAGATACCTAATGAAGTTGAAGAAACAGCGGATGTTCTTACTTCGTCTGGTGTATTGGGACTGAATGTTAACGGTGGAATTTTTTGTAATCTCGGATTTCTTATATGGTACTCCCTTTGAATTGTGGAAGATGCCCGAGGTTTTGGTGTTGTTAATACTGTTTCGTCACTGAAGTCTTGTGTATACTTTGACATTTTTATTCATTTTTCACAGGACAGGACAAGTATGGCACTATCTGATGGATAAAAAGCAGGGGAGTTAAAAGAAAAATATTAAATTATAATTAGCTACTCACGCAAACACCAACGAACTCGTGACTTTCCAAACAAACAAAAATTGTTCACTGGGGCTGAAAAGGCGTTTTTCTTTAAGATAAAGTGGCCCAGAAAAAAGTTTGTCGGTTAACCATCAAACATTTGAATTCAACATGCGTCCGTGTCTAAAGTACCCCTTTAACCCTAGTTTGCATAGATGCCATATCGCAATTTTTATCTGCGAATTCGTTCTCGCGAAAGTGCATTTTGTAGAAAATATGTCAACTTTATTCGCATTTCGCATTACTACACTGTAGACAGCGTTTCCATAAATGCCAAACAAATTTTGCCGCGGATTCTGTGAGAGTGAATGTTTTTAACTCAATAGCAATAGTATGTACTATGTATAAGTATTAAATGTATTACGGGCGCAATATTAGATTCTAGAACAATGGATTTGTATATTGTATGATGTATGTATATCTTCAAGTATGTACCTACAGCCATGTGCAGGCGTAATCTGTGTGTGCCTCTCCTTTAAATTATTGTTATCACCAAACAGATCCCGAAAATCTTTAAACTGCGATATTTTATTTATAGGGAATGGTATTTTAGTTTCAACCTTGACAATCAGTCTACCTGTTCCTGTTTTTTGTGTAGAGTGCTTCTATTGTGCATTTATGGACATGGTCACGGTTTGTGCCTTTTCAGTTTTAGAAACATTTCCCACATTCAAATAGGGGATACGTGAACGCATAACTCTTCAAAAAATTAAACTTTATCATACCGAAAGATGATATCGCATAATACTTCGAATGTGCTTTTATGCTCACAGTTTGTGCCTTTTTAGTATCGGCGACTGGGGGCTGAATGTACGCTGCGCGATTTTCTTAGTTTTCCTTTTTTTTATATAAAAAGCATAGGGCTAATAGCAATCCATGTACTATATGGTCTAAGGGTTTTATGCTCTTCCTACCTTGGTCACTTTGATTTGGGATGTAATTGAGTATTACTCTATGAGGTGTAAGAGTAACATGTTTAGCAGTTTTAATTTTGATGCTCATCATTGTAGATAAGCAAGATGAGAGACATAAATACTCCAGAGCTCACATTTGAGAAAGCCCGGCAGCACAGATATCCGGATTGATTTTAATTGTATGTGAATGTCTAGTCTAATGTACGAATAGTGCCAACACCAATATTTTTTTTTGTTTTTATTTAAAGCAACAAACGTATAGATAGGACAATGAATGATAAAATTTTATTTCTTTACTTTAGAGCGAAACAACCACTTTGCCTTTTTCCGGACGGTCCTAGTTGTATTATTTGTTGAATTTTTCAGAACGTCAATAGCATTCTCAGTAGTATGTGACATAATGTTAACGGCATTACCTTGTATATCTGTAGTAATTGGAAATTTACCACTAAAACCTTTTGGGAAGATCGGCTTTGCCAACAACTGAGACAACTGTTTGCGTTTTAATTGAGCAAGTTTTTTATGTTTTTGGGTATCGTGCGAATCAAATTTCATTGAGCTGAAAAAACACATTTGAGACGAGAATTAAGGTAACAGTACTAACATGTTATCATCAATTATAATATCCATCTCTTCTGCCGCTTTCTGAAGCCAACCACTTTCGGATTGGGTTTTTCGCACTGACAATTCTACCTTGTCCAACTCACGAGCTAAATTTACTCTCTGCTTGACCGCATTGAAGAAATCGGCTTGCACAGGAAATGATGGAAGATCTTCGGCTAAAATAGACGTGAGTAGCTTCCAGAATAACACCTCGAATATACTTACATCGCCCCAAATTTCGACATAATTTTAAGTAGTTCTTGAGCTCACTTGGTTCCACCAGTAAAACTGTAAGACCTTCCCGAGAAGCTCGAGCAGTACGACCTGAACGGTGAATGTAACTTTCACTTGTTCGTGGAGTTTGGTAATGCAGGACGTGTTCGACACACGGAATGTCCAATCCTCTGGAAGCCACGTCTGTTGCAATTAAAATGGCATTTTCGTTATCTCGGAAACTACAAGAGTACGTAAGTAAGTGATAATGTGGGGGAATTAATAGTACCGTTCCAGGTTCTTTAATCTTTGTCGTTGTTGCATAGATGCGTGGAGTGCCAAGGCATGACAGTCTAGCAAACCTAAGAGGGTTGTTAATCGCTTTACACAACCTATCGAATTACAAAATATCAATGTGCGACCTGGATGTCGTTGCAAGAAATAGTACAGGTAGTAGTCTTTTTCGTCTATTGAGCATGTGATTCTTGATTCTGACAGCGATTCGGCTGTTCCTGAAAATTACTTACAATGTAGATCGATCCTGACCTCTCTAAACAGTACTGCAAGGAGTTGAATAGTGAGACAATCTTCAAGTGGAATCAGCAAATTTAAGAGGTAGATGTTACACATCGCAATAAAGCATTTATAGCTATTAGCCAATTTTTGAAAATAGACTAAACATTAAATTTTTTCAATTTCTAGTGTGGAAAGGACCATTTCTTTGAGACAATTTTTTGAATTCTGATTAAAGTCCTCAGATGAGCTTACGTTAGTAGCTCTAACTTTGGCTACAAGGGTCGTGGGTTCGAATCTCAGGTAAGGCATGGCTGTTTTGTTTGTGATTGTATAGTGGGTTGAGTGGGAAGAGTAGCAAATTTCTAAAACTCCGCCCACTATAAAATAAAGGCAATAAAAAAAAAGTCTGGTACAATTCCTAAATATGAATTTTTATGCTACCAACCTACTAAATAATCCAAATGTATACTTTTCAGTCTATGATCGTCTCACGATTCTATTCTTTACAAGGTCAAACTTACCAGTCTTTTGCGTAATATCCACAACTTTCGGATTTGTAATGCCCAACACATCAATAACCTTTTGCAATTTTTGTTTAGGTGTCATTTCCAAGATTTTCTTCCCTTTCATGGACTTCATCTTTTTCTTTATAGCCAAGTGTTTTGGTAATTCGTGGGTAAGTGTAAGTGTGGCAGAAAAGACAAAGTTTTGCCTTTCTTTACACTTCGATGCGTCCAAGTTTAATCTCTCCAATAAATCGTGCAACTCTTTAAAATGACCTTTCTCTAACATTCTGTCGGTTTCGTCAATCGCTAGAAACCTAAAGATACTCAATTAGAGTGCCATGGCAATGTAAGAAACGCACCTAATATTCTCTATGTTTGAGAGATGCGAATTTCCCTCCTGAATCAACTCCCATAATCGACCGGGTGTTGCCACTACAATTTCAGGGTGCTTACTTAAGATACGTTCTTGTTTTACTGCAGCCATTCCGCCTAATATTACGGCAACCTGAATTCCTACAGATTAATACAGTCAACATGAAATACTCAAAAGTGAGGGATCCCACCTGTGTACTTAGCAGCTGCTGTTAAATGATTTTTAATTTGAACGGCCAATTCTCTTGTTGGTGTTAAAATTAATGAGTACAAGGGCTTAGAGTCGACTTGATCACAGTGTAACTGCTTCGTTTTTAAAATGCCAGTTAAAATTGGTAGTCCAAACGCCAACGTTTTTCCACTGCCAGTTTCAGCAGCCCCCAAGATATCTCTACGCCCTGTTAAAATGTTATCAACTATACAGTTTTTCACATGAATGTTTACCCAAAATTGCTGATGGTAAGGTTAATTCTTGGATTGTTGTAGGTTTATAAAATCCGAGTTCAGAGATAGCTTGCAAAATAGAATTGGGTAAGCCAAAACTATTCCACGCTAGCATCAAATTATCGGTTGCTGTGGATTGACCAGAATCACTATTAAACACAGTAACATCGCTTGTTGATCCATTTTTTGATAATACAAAACTGTCAGTGGAACGTTTCTTCTGTAACTGTTTTGTCGTTTTGGTTTTTTTTCGTGTAGCTTCCGATGGCTTAGAATCTACCTTCCTTTTACGTACCTGAAAGGAATATAATTAAGGGTTGGTTTTGGTTATTCTCCTACAAATAAAGGACCTGCTTCTTTGATATGCTACTCAAGTTGTAATTGATACATTCTTCAATTCCTATTAAACCATCTAAGTCTTTGTCCAAAATTGAACCTTCAAATTCTAATGCCTTCCATTTAACACCTTTAACTTCTTTTGCCATTTTACCTGAATGGATATACAATACAAAACTCCGAAAGTCCGAAGAAGTTGCAAAAAAGTAAGGAAAAAAGGTTAAGTTTCAATTTTAGGGTTATGTTCGTTCTTGCTCGCATTTTGAATGGTAGCATTCAACCATTCAACGGTGATATATGTAAGAGCCGCAATCCATTAACCTTAACAATTGAGTTGTAGACTACAATGGTTGTAGTATCATTGAATTTATAGATAGTTATAAATTCAATGGTAGTATGTTGTAGGGAGGCTATTCCAGTTTCTTGCAGAAGATTTCACCTAAAAATCATAAAATACATTTTTTGGGAACACTTTTTAAATTATTGTAAGATTGAAATCAGCCCGCTCTCAATTGAATTCCTTTACGCCGCCTTTTAAACGTTTTTCCAGTCTATGAAGGCTAAAGCATTGTTTATTCATAAACAATGGCTAAAGCTAGTAATTTTAGACTTTCTTGGGGCTTTCCAGAGCTTTATCACCATTCGAAAGTATTCTACCGGCCTTTCAGACCCTCGTAAGAGATTTCCTAGAGAAACCTTGGGCTTTTTACATCCTTTCCAAGAATTTTTCACGTCGTGTCGTAAAGAACTTATACTTACATTTCCGGGCTTCATTTGGCCTTACAAGAGACAAAGTATGTAAAGTAAGTGAGATGTAAACTAGAACGTAATTCTAAACGTTTTATAGAAAATTGAAGGCTTTCAAAGTCTTCCAGTCACATATTCTATTACCTCCAGATGTCACGCATACACCAGGTCCTCGTAACCATTTCAAACGTTTTTTAGAATTCTTTTCTGTCTTTTAAATTTTCATATTCTAGACCCTTTCTAAAGCTTTACACGCACTGTCGGTCGTATAGTACCTACTCTGTGTCCCTTTCAAAGCTCTCTATGCTGTAAAAGGTACGCAAAAAGTATTGTATATAAAAGGCCCATCTAAATGTTCTTAAAGGTAATAACAGGCTTTAGACAAGTTGACAAGACAAGTAGACGATTGGCATAACTACTACATAAAAATAACTGAGAAGATATAGGTACTCAAGATAGAAGATATTAAAAGTTAACAATTGTTTCAAGTTTTCAATTGTTTTTGGGATACGAACAAAAAAAGGTTCCTTTTGTCTCTCCCGCCCTCGAAGCATGTCCCAGTGTTTGGGCCCATATAATATACTTATGGACACATCAAGACGCTGTCGTTCCGATTTTTAGCGCATTTTTTAAGAAATAAAAAATGTGCTATTGTTTGCGTTTTGTTCGTCCGTCTGTCCGTCCATCCGGACCCACTCCTGCGGTTTTTAACTACTTTTAGGAGAATTGTCCTAGAGGCCTGGAATTTTTTGAAATAGGTATGCTATACCTTGAAGGTGTGACAGGCGACCTGTAACTTTTGTTATCTTAAGCGCGGGCTCCCCCATAAATTGTTTCCCGAAAAGCTGTTTTTGGATGTAAAACTTGCGTAACTTTTACATACGGCAACCAATGTGTCTCAAATTATGCATACGGGGGGGGGGGGGGTAAAAACAGGTTTTACCCTCATATTATTCTAATGAAACGTCTCGTGGAAAGGAATTGGCAGCCTTTACATGTTTATTTATGAGTACTTAAAGGGCTAATTATGTTTACTTATTCGTAACTGTAAATATTCAAAGCTGTAATCAAGAATGAACAAAAGTGTACCTGCAATTTGGTATATTTTGAAAACTAAAGACCGGAATCATGTATTATAATGAAAATGGGCAATGTGGGTATTACCTATTAGCTTAGCGTTACCTATCTGGATCGCCGATGACATTTTGGCTTTAGTGATGTCGATAATAATGATCCTAAGCTGCAACCATTGATATCTTTGAAACTGATTACCAAATTTGGAAAACATGATAGAGTACATTTTTATAAAATTAATTTATACTTGTAATTGATAAAAACATCATTAAGTACTGGAATCCTTAACTACAAGTGGAAAATTAGGTTCCTAAGATTCTCTTCATTAAAAAGTAATTGTTACACAGACAAGCCGATAGTGTTAATCATCAATGACCTTATAGCATATATAAGAGGATACCTACTTCGGTGTTTGTTCACAGTATCCAAAATGAAGACATTAATCTACTTCTGTGTGTGTGCGATCTCCCTGGCATGTGCGGCATCTGCTGACGTAAGTGTAGATATGTATATACTTATCGCCTGTTTGCATATTTGAGTTCTAGATGGAGGAGAAAATTTTCCAAGCTTACCAGAAGGAGATGGAGCCGTACAAGGAGAAATGTCAAAAGGAGACAGGCGCCGATCCTTTATACATTGAAGTAATTATGAAAACGGGAGTTGTTTCGAAAGACCCAAAGGTGATGTGCTTTGCAAAATGCATGTTCATGAACGTGGAGGTTATGGATAAGGATGGGAAATTTAAAAAGGAGGTGATTGTGAAGAAAGGTGTTGCCATAACGGATGAGATGGCCGAGTCGTGCATGAAAAGCAGTGAATCCGAACCAGAACTTTGTAAGAGATCGCACGATTTTGCAATTTGTATTGCTCAAAAGCTAGCGAAGCTATAATTCAATCGTGCTCGCATGAAACACTCTCCTCGCGTTTATTGTTAAATACTATACGATACCTCGTTCATAAGTTTACAATACATACCTAACATGTTTTTCAAAACATTAATACCTATTTGATCCTTGGAAAATACATAATTCTCAGATTAAATGCTGAAAAGTTATTTGACCCGTTGAACTGGCCCTCGAGTGACTTTTGAACCGCAAAAGCAGTTTAGGTACCAAGTTTACACGCATTTTTGAAATGAACTTTGACAATTTTCTGTAAGAAGTTCATTACGGGACCTACCGCGTATACTCGTACCTATGTTATTTTTTATGCATATCGATTGGGAAAAAATGAAACGAGGCGTGCTCTATATACTTTATTGCCATAGTTCTGACAAACCACAGACAGTAATCCGAGGACTTATATTTAAACGAACCCAGCCGTTGCTATAGCAACATGATTTTTAAGAATTTTGCAATTTGGCTGTACCCGATATACCACAATGTGCCAATATGTAGCCAGCCTCACAGGGCTGAGAAGATTTTTCTGCTTTTTCAATACAAGCGTCAAGCAAATCCGAATGGACCCCTTTCGCCGTCTTCATGATCGTGTCCCTGGCACACTTATTATTGGAGTCGATGAATCCTAACGCACGAACCAAGCAATCCATATAACACTTAAATGCCGGGTCATCGCCCGGGATAATCCAAATTTGTATATTTACTATCGGCAAGCTCCTTCTGCACTCCGCTCTGCTTAATACATTTCTCTTCGTAAGGGCGACACATCGCCGTCCATTGTTCAATCGTATCTTTGTTAAGCTGCAATAAAATTAGGTACAATAATTTAATTTAATTTATTACGTACATACCGACCTTTAAAGAGAGTGCACAAGTGCATAGCGAAAGAAGAATGAAGATCTTCATTTTTGCAGTCGACTGACCATCAACGTTGTATGCACGTATGTTTATACTTATATATACCCGCGTGAAGATGAAGAAATTTGAAGGCTATCCAGGTTACTATCGTTTATTTGCATCCCTATAGATTCATCCTGGCTGGTGTTTACAGAATGCAGAAACAGGGTTCAATGAACAGTCATGGCTATACAAGCCGGTTAAACCTTCGAGCGCTAAAATTTATCGCTGATTGTAAAAATCTCTTCTCAAGCAATTTTTATTTAATTAGGTAGGTAATTATTAAATCAGTAGGTATGTACCAAATATCTCATTCTAAATTTGTTAAAAATCCTCATAGAAAGAAACTGTTACGTAAATTTTGGACTGATTCGATTAGTTTGCAGAGCTCCTCTGCAAACTTACTTATATCCATAATAAAAACTATCATAGGTATCTGAAAATGCCGAGAAACTTGGTCTAGTGGGATACAATCAAGAAAATCGCTCATTTCGATGAGCACATAAGGGCACAAACAATGTAATAAACGCGATTTTAAATACGCGGTAATTTGCAGACTGCATTGCGCCATTGACCAATATCGTTTGAATTTTTTGCATAAAATTAGTACCCACCCTAATACTGTGGCAGGTCTGAATGTATTTTTATTCTCATTTTCCTGTGATCTTTTTCTTATGCTTCTTTAGCAACTGAAAAGAAATTTCGAAAGTTATAAGTAAACAGAATTAACACATTTTATTGTTAGACTACACTTTACAGCAAGAACTGACATTTTTTGATAAGCAACATCAGTTATAAATTTTGTTGTTCGGCTACAGACAAAATAATACAAGTTCCAAATACGTATCCAACCTCACAAGTATTTAATGATTGTTCTGCTTTTTTAACACAGTCGTCGACTATCTTCCGATCCAGAGGAGCAGTACTGTCGCTAATTTTCTCTTGATCAAATTTATTATTAGAGTCAAGTACTCCAAATTTCTTTGCCATGCAATCCATGTAACATTTAAACTGTTGGTCATCAGGATAATCCAAGTTTGTGTAGACGCTGTCGGCAAGAGCTTTGTCCACACCTGATTTTTCGACACAATTTTCTACATGTGGGTGACTCATCTCGGTCCATTTATCTATTGTTTCTTGCTTAAGCTAAACAAAAATCTTGCACATTCTAATCGATAAGTTAATTACACTGTTCTTACCTTTAAAGAATGTGCAAAACAAACACAAACACATACGACAAGAAGCAGCTTCATATTCAGAGCGACGGTGTCAAGAGGTCTCAACTTTCCAAGTTTCTAACGTTGTTTTATATCCGCCGATGCAGACGCGTCACAGTCATCTGTACCTATATAAAACCATTAAGGCAAACCAGTACAAAATTTCGCGATATATTTTGCATTCCTTTGAATCTACGCCCAAACTCGATGTCAATGAACAGTTAACACGTTATAACGGGTTGGAAGTTATTCTCATTTCGTCCTTATCCAGAAAAACGTGTTTTGCTTACACTATTCACTCTTTATATATATGTACGTTCTGTATACAAAGTATTAGACTTAAAGGAATAATTACAAGACAATTAGTACCTACCTAATCCTTGGTCTTGATTACCTACCTTCTGTAATTGTTTGTCTGGTTTTACTTACGTAATTATGCATATCGACATGCTTCTTTTGCGTGTTTCTACCATTCAGAGATTTATCTAGATTGCTTTTAAAAAAATCTAAAAAAATGTTCATATGTCAACCTACGAGATTATTAGGTATCGGGTATAACTGCCTCGGCTGAGTCCACAGCCAAAAAAAAATTCTGCAAATAACAAAAAAGATACAGAGTATACAGACAATTTTGTATAATTACATTCAAGTTTTTAATGAATCCATTATTAACCAGGGATTTACCTCTGTACGTAGATTATCATTTATCAACATAGCAACTAGGGCTTTCTTTTCATGTCGGTGCATTTACCTACTCAGAATACATGTTCTACGAGTATGAAATTACAAAATCTGAATGGCCATATTTCAATCGAAAAGCAGGATCTTTGTATTTATTTGATGAACTACTGTGATAGTGTGTGTAAAGGCAAAGAGTTACTCTTTGGTAAAGGTAAATCAACAGTAAGGGAAGGGATGATGTAGTGTGGAAAAGCCAAATGGAATAAATTCATTATTTCTGTTAGGTACTGTACATATATTTATAGAAAATCTTGAAACGCGTCAAATTTAACTTATAGATTAACATTCTTCAACGTTAAAATGTATCCACCTTCAACACCCCTCGAGTGACAATTGTAACCTTCAATGTTTTAAATGGGAAGTATGGCCTTGCGATATATCGTTTGAAAGATCTCTTCATTTTCTATACAAAAATGATATATATTCTTTTCAAATTTATTGCAAAAAAAAACTTATAACTCTTGGCGATTCGGGGATCACATCCGATATATGTTCATTGTTCAATAAAGGCAGAAAACATTTTTATTAAGACATGAAAAGACGTTCGCGATGACCATTTTGAACGTGTACTTCTTTGATATCTATTTTTCACATTATGAACAAGAAGTATTACCAAAGAGTAACCATAATTTACTCTTTGGTATTACCTACATATCCAGTGTAGGTAATATGTGGAGCATATCGGTACTTAATCATAATAATTTTATTTTTTATGTGAATTTTGCAATAAATTTAAAAACAATGTTATACCTACCTACTTGGATAGATGATGAAGAGACCTTTCAAACGATATATCACAAGCCTATAGGTACTTATACTCATTAAAAAAATTGGGAGCTCTAAATGCTACTCGAAGGGGGTTGAAGTTAGGGATCACATTTTAACGTTGAAGAATGTCAATTTATAATTTAAATATTACGTGTTACAGGAATTTCTATAAATATATGTAGGTACAGTAACCGAAACAATGAATTTGTTCCATTGGGCTTTTCCTACAACCTACACTGTTTTTCATTTTTGGTCAATTATCTCATATGTCGTCTCTTTTTTTGTCGTCAATTCCTACACAAATAAGGTCATAAGGTCGAGAGATGACATTATTGACATTCCGAGCAAAACATATTATTATCTATTGAAACATGATCTAATAAATTGCTAAATATTTCAAAATCTAGAATAGAAACATTGTAGGTATCCGGATACGGATAAAATGCGTTGAGTAGGTACCCAACGAAATGGCAAAATTTTGTATCACGGCCACAGGACTTTCACGATTTTTTTTTCAAAACACTAATCGAAAACAACGGGCGATCAAAAATGAGTGGCGGTCGAGTCGCCTTAAGTGCGATTTCCCATGTAGGACTCGCCAGAAACTCATTTTTGATCGCATAGTACATGGGCCTCTACGAATCGGCCGTCTCTGGCGAATGAAGAACCTGGGAGTAACCTTTAAACAGGATTTTTAGCACGTTTAGATAAAATATCAAATGCTGATGAATCTGATGTACACGAATGAGGTCTAACGCTAAAAAGGCTCACTTATTATTTAACAAAGTATATTTAAATAACGGTGAAAGCTATCATATCGTATACGGCGTTAGAGTAACGAAAACGGACTGAGACGCAATCCGATCTTGATGGCTAGTGAGTCGTCTTTTGCTGGTAGCTCTCCGACAACTTTTGTTTTTGCTAAATTTTAAAGGCAAAAGGGGAATACTTCAAAATACTCCTCTCACGAAGATCTCGGATATTTCCAAAGACACAGACATTTTAAGGGAGTGCGGATAAAGATAGACCGCGGTACATAGACCAAATGGGTGTACTACTTCAGAGAGTTTAAATGAGAATAATAACAAAATATAGATGAGTAACAAATAAAAATAAAAAAAAACTATTTGTTTTATTTTCAACAATTGTCAAGTTAACATATTGGTGTACGTATAGGTATGCATTATTCAGATATTCCTTCAATCATTCCTCTTCTTCTTCATTATTTATAAGTAGTAGGTACTAAACTAGGTTTATAATATTATAACATATACAAGTATACGATATTACTTAGAGTACACAGGCAATGGGGCGATAAGAAGGGAGGGGGGGCTGTCAGGTTGCTCCCTCTCTCCGAAACCAGTTTGACTATCATATCGTAGTACCCCCCCCCTCCCCAGACTAACATTTTTGGTTGTGGTATACTGCGATACAGAATACATAGAAGGAAGTAATATACTTACATACATTAGTTTTTATCTCATTATTGCGTGATCGTGTTAAAGGCCTCATCAGTTTTTATGAAACTTTGGATTTGCCAAACCGTCTACCACGCATTGGCAAAGTTTGAAAGATTTTGACTCCAATCCCTTCTCAGGATTTGCGCTTGTCACGCATTTTTCCAACATTATATGTAAGATAATCGGCCTTTTTCAATATTACGACCTCTTCAAAGTGCCCATCGTTGCGTATCATCCCCAACTTACGATAAACGCACGCGTAATGTAATCCCTGAATTGCTTCGTATCTGGAACCGACGGTCCTCGAAGTATGTTGCTAATATCTTCGGGAGCAATACCGGATTGGATAGAACACTCCTTTTTGTGCGGGGCCATTAGACTGTCCCATTTTTCTATTATGTATGGTGAGATCTAAGTAAAAAGTTCAATAAAACGCAACAACAAACGATATACTTACATCTCCCGTCGACTGTTCGACATGGAGGACACACAGTACAAGAAAAGCTAAGGACATCTGCATCTTACTGCTTCACGTGTTTACTGCTTACTGAGTACTGAGAGAATATGTCATATCTTTGTGTGATAGGGTCAAATATGAATAATCTTCTTCACTTCGAACTTTTATCTGGGACATTGGCCCGCGTGAATAAAAGTAAGCAAATGCTTATACTTGTAAAATTCAAAGTAAATACTCGTAAGTGTCCCTTTATGCTGGTTTGTTTAGCAGCGCTGCACTGCGTCCTGTCCTTCTGCTTAGCAGCGCTGCTAAGTCGCCCAGTGCGAAGGAGCGCTTACGAGTATTTACTTTGAATTTTGCAAGTATAAGCGTTTGCTTACTTTTATTTATACGGGCCATTACATCACACTTTCCCTTTTAAACCTTAAAACAATGTTAAGCAAGTTTTATTTATTTCAACATTAGGTACTATTCTTTTGAACAGTAATTGCTCTCACACTTTGGTTCCTCCATCATAAGGCCTACTATAACACTATAATGGCGTTTACCTGGAATGTTTCTGAAAGCTCTCCATTTTTTACCACCCGCACGTTAGTAAGGGAGGTATTGGATTGGGGTAAAAATGTTACCTCACTTTTTTACGGAAATACACGTTTTGATGCATCAGGAATCCGAATTAAACAAAATCTCGATGATGTCGATCTATCTGTTGGTCCGTCTGTACTCTCATTCCTCCATCAAACAACGCATAGGTACGTTTTCATTAAGTATACCTTAATTGGGAAGCTTTACTTTTATAATCAGAATAGGCAATGGACCATCGCACCCTCTCATAAAGGCAACATTTCCAGGTTCCACATCCACATCTTTAAAAATATCTTGACCCATTCAAGTCCGACGTGATTAATTGGTGATGATGAATACGATTGGTGCGATGCGATGTGCAATGATAGCACGCGATGATGACGGCGGCATGTACTAAATATCGCACACAATTTCTTTTCTCTGCAGTATTTACCCTAAAGCGGCCCCTATACGTTCAATATTATTGTGCAATATTTTGGTTTATGCAAAAAATGTAAGGTAGGTACCGTCTTGAGGCGATATTGAAGGTTGTTGTGCAATATATTTCGCGCAATCGCGAGCACAGACGTACAACCACATTGTGCAAACAATCCCCGCCGGAATTGCATGATAATGGCAGTGGCCGGAAGGGTAAAAAAAGAAAAGAAAAAGGGCCCGCAGAAAGGTAGAAAATGGGTCAAACAGTGGTTTATCGATCCGGAGAAGTGCATCCCCGATAAATTACCCAATGAACTGAGAGTAATTGAACCAAATGATTTCCGCCACTTTTTACGAGTGGAGGAAGCATTGATTGATGAACTCCTCGCTTTGGGTACTCCTGAAATCAGTACTGTCATGCGCGATGCAATTCCGAAGTATTTTTACTCGTAAACAACGTCTGGTGTCTGAAATTATTGAAAACTGACGAATTTATTAAATAAATTCCGATGGTAAATATTTAAACAACATACTTTTTTTCTCAATAAATCACGATAATTATAAATGTATTTAATGATTCTTTTTTTAAACAACGCAAAAGCAAATTATTTTTCCATTTATTAAAAAAAATTAATAACAGAGCAGGTACAATGAGCGCGTGTTGTATGTCAACTACCCTGTATGTATGTTTTTGTATTAAGTTGGTGACACTGATATGCCTCGACTATGAACCCTGCGTAGCAGGAATCTGCACCTTTCCGTAATAGTTTCGTTGCGGCACCTCGCCATTTTAATCAATTTTTAATTAGAAAATTTTTATAGTCTATTATAGATAGTTCTTGGGAAACTATCATTTCCTTGTAAGTACAATCTTCAGCGGAATCAAACAGTCTTCTACGACATGGGTGTACATGTAAATAGCCTTAGCCCTGGAGATGGCAAGTGTTTTGACTGATTTACACATTTTTCATGAATTGTAATATGCAGGTCAAACTTTTCCGAAAACCGGACAAACCGTCGTTGTACATTACACAGGTACTTTAGAAAATGGAACAAAATTCGATTCCTCGCGTGATAGAGGGGTGCCCTTTAAGTTTCGTATCGGAAAAGGTGAAGTCATTAAAGGCTGGGATGAGGGTGTTGCGCAAGTGAGTCTTGATTATTTTTTTCTTTACAGTTTCTTAATGATGATAACCATCCTTGCGCTCGGATTTTCAGTGACGTAAACACGATAGGGGAGTAACTGTTTACTTCTTCTGATCATCCCGATCTTATATAAATTCTATAAAATATTTCTTTTTCTAATCTCTTTATATTTACAGTTAAGCGTGGGACAGAGAGCAACGTTAACCTGCTCGCCGGATTACGCATACGGATCTCGTGGCCATCCAGGAATCATCCCACCCAATTCGACACTCATTTTTGACGTTGAACTTATACGAGTTGAATAAATTTGTTCATAACTTATGCATTTGCGAGAACCAGTTTAATTTACATTAATCTTACATGTTTAGCATTACTTATTATAGTTAATCCCTTAAGACTGTTTTGCGATCGATTTGTAGCTTACAGCCTGTTGTTTGTTTAAGATTGTAAGAATGCTGTAATTGATTCTTTATGTTGTTAGAACAATACCTACGTATTGCGAATTGTATGTAGAATGTGTTCTTTATACATTTCAAATAATTGCCAGATAAGTTACCTACCATGTTATAACATTACTTAAAGAGAAACTTGAATCGAGGTGTAGATTAGGATTGTGTTCGAAATAAAATCTAAATCAATGCATAAATAAAAGATTGCAATGTACCTACTTTTTGTTTGAATTCTTTAAAATCTGCAATTAGTGTTAATATAACATTTTCAAGTTGATTGGATTTTACTTGGCTGAAATAGGTCTTTATTGTCTTCTGTCAGACAATCTTCAGGCGCAGTTTAATAGATTATATACTGAACTGGGAAGTGGAATTACCTACGCCGAGGGCTTAAGGTACATCGCCAACGCGCAAAGCACAAGACAATCATATACCGCAACCGCTGATCTAGTCCTGATGGTATTTAGAGTAAAGGTATTTGTTTTATAATCCGCCAATCATTGTTTTTTTTTGCAATAAAGTAACAGCTTCAATAAGAAACACTTTTAATCAAAGCTTTTATATAATAATGGCAGTAGTAAAAATGTAAAAATGAGTAAATATAATAAAATCACAACTACCCGCATCTTTGGGACGATAAAGCTTTAACAGGCGTTTGCCTAGTGCAATTTGGCGCACGACTGTGGTACTTATATCTAGGTGAATTAACACTTAGCGAATTCTTAATTTGTGGGGTTGTTTTGCAATTTGGAGAAAGAAATCGATTGGAATCCTTGAGCGCGTTGGTTTTATCGTGTGAATTATAAAGAACCATTTGATCGAAGGAGCTAGAAAATTGCACTTTATTTTCTTTTTCTTCGTTGGCCGAGGAAAACGACATAGCTTTTACAGTTTTCTTTCTTGGTGACTGTTTTTCGCAAGTCCTTAAACTTCTAATCCTATGTGAAACATTTCTGGTCGCACCAATCCTTGTCGATCGGCTATCCGTATCAAGTAATTGATCAAAAAGGCGCGCTTTGGCCAAAACCATGCCGGCGTTACGATTGCGCAGTTTGACGATAGACGATCTATAATCGAACGAATTACCAGAGTTGTTTGGAGTGTGTGAATCTTCCGAGTATTCCGTACAACTATTCCAGTTGTTTGGCGAGTTGCTTATTGTAGAAGGTTTATTGATTGTGTCCATGTGAGCAATGACCAATTGAGGTTCCGAGTTAACTTTACTGTGACCTGTAATCTAAATTGGTTATTTGATTACACAAGCGTCATACAAACCTTTAATGAGTGGACTAGGAAGACCAGTTCCCAGCGTATTAGGCTGTCCACGTCTCAATGTAATCACAGACTGATTTTGTATTTGCAAGGATTGGTTTCGGCGAAGTCGACTATTGCTTTGTCTTTCCAGCTCACGCGAACGCCGTCTTAAGCTACCAATCTTCCGGGCACTAGGAGATCTTTGATCTATTGACCGTCTAATTTTCAGTTCTTTACTCAATCTCCGTGCCAAATGATCATCCGTTGGGCTGAGATGTTCGACTTTATACAGTGTGTTTTCGTAAACAGTTTGAACAGTTTCCACTGCACTTTCTAACTCTAACGAGATCCGTTGCTCAATGGCAGATACACGATTTTGAATGTCCTCATATTCTGTACGGGATATTTTCACATAATCAACCTCAGAATCTTTATGCGTTTGCACGGTCGATACCATGCAGGAGTTTCGCATCTTGTTACGCTTAAATCCCGGCGTCGCATTGCTTACAGCGGACCAGCGACGTTGCAATGTAGATGAAATGTTGCCTCTGTCGGGCTTATTTCGCTTGGTTAAGCTCAATTGCGATTTTTTGTCAGTATTTCTACAATTGAATTGTTCAAATTTGATTTGTACCAGGTGACCAAATAGGAATGACAAGCTGCTATATCCCAAAAAAAAATGCTAAAATAATTTTTAGTTTTCTCCCGCTGAGAAGAGAAACACACAGAAAACAAACAAGAATGACGCATTGTAATAATCAGAAAATTTGGAAGTAAAATGCTCCTATGTATTTTCTCTGTGGTCTTCAAAATATGCTATCAATCACAGTGAAGGTTCCCTATGCTTACTACCGCTACCTTTTTAAAATGAATAGGGTATAGAGCTCTACGAAAGCGATGCCAATTCCATCATGAAAACACAAATCCATGCTATAGCGTATAGTCTTAATCTACCATCTATAGCTATACGATCAGCTTTGCTATAAACAAGATATTGGTCCTGGCTTTGAGCCAAATTAATAATAATAATAATAATAATAATACTGCCTTACAATACAATTTAAAATGGTGAAATGGGGCGAAGTTCAGTTCCACAGTAAAATACAGTAGTCTGCTCGGAATTAACTTTCTTAGCGATTTTTAGAATATTGCGACATTTTAAATAACCCAAACACCATTTTCGCAGCCAATTAATTCTACTAATTAGGCAATGGTAAAGCAATAAAAAAAAATAGCGCAGTTTTTTCTCTTAAGATTTCTGCTAGTGTTCTTGCGAAACGAAAGCTCTATTTTGTTACTTTCCGATACAGCAATATGCCATTCTGATTTGGTCACCCTGTACAATCGATTTGTACTTACCTATTATTTGTATTTGTCGATTTTGGAGATGGATTCTTTTTTGGACTATAAATGAGAAAGTCGCTTATTAAAAAAAAGTCAAGCTACAATTACTTTTCAAATCATGCACTTTTAATGAGTTGCTTTTCAACTTACTTTGGATGGATACTAATCGGTGTGCTTAAGGCGGTGTGCTGAGGAAGGCTTTGAATCAACGTGTGTCTGAAAATTATCATAATCAAGGAACACGTACTATTTCCCCATAACTACTCACTTTTTCTTATTTGAAAAAGCTTGAATGTCTAATCTTCGTTTACGATCAGACACTTTTATATTAGGCGTTTGTAAAAGATCTGGAGATTTGGAAGAGGTGTCGATCGACTTGCTGCTAACAATCTTTCTTAATCCATTAAACATACCTACGATTTATACATAAAACAATTTGTGTGCGTAAAACCCAAGGGCGGAACTTACGTGTCAAAGAGCCACTTCTGCGCTTCTTTTTCTTTTTATTTACTTCATCACACGAAACTAAATCTGCAGAAAGAGAAGTAGGAGCTATTTGATCGATTATACGATCGGAAATAAAACCAATATCAGATGCGTTTTCTATAAGCAACTAGAACAACGATTAATGGCATAACAATATTTAGAGACGAATACATACTTTACATATATCACAAAATTTCGTTAATCTTTGTGCAGAATTGAAAGCCGACTTTTCTTCAATTGGAAATAACGTAGGCCCCATTACTATCGCTAAATTATGAGAATCCATTTTATTCAATGAAGAATGTTGACTCACTTCGCGTAAAAACTAAAGGTCGAGATTAAATTACAGCAATCGTAATAAACACAATCACCTGCATAAAATACGCCAAAGTATTTAGATGTTCGGTCGGAAGTAAAAGACAAGATAGCATTAATGCTTGAAGTTGTTGACTAGACAAAACACAATGAAGAAAAAGTTCATGAAAGGCGTATGGAAATAATGGCTCCGGCAGCTCTCTAAAGAACGTTTTCAGTACATTTGCGACGTCAATTTCATGATGAGTCTGTCCCAAGTAAGATCCGGAATCCAAGAGCAACTAAAATAAACACATCACTCCACGTTAAAAATTAAAGTTATACCTTCATCTCGTTCTGTCTAGCTTTAGACCCGCCTTTACGAAAGAGACCTTCCGTCGTCACCTTTGTTAGTATGTACGAACACAGATCGTCGACTAGTTTAGGAACTACTAATTGCTGACCACTTGCTAGCGTTACCGTTTGCATGGGCAATAGGCATAATGCCGTTTTAAAGCACTGGCGACCGATTCTTTCCTCCTACGAATAAAATTATGTAAAAACACTTTTGCAGAGAGTATTATATTAACCTGCACGTTACGAAGTTTTTTAGGTCTGTATTTAACACCAATTTCACGTAAATGTTTTACTGCGATGTTCTTTATTTCTTCTTTTTTAGTTACGTCGTTTATAAACATTTTTTCGGATTTTAAAGAAATTTTATAATAAACTAAAGTGACATTTTGTAACCGTCATTAATATTTGAAATCTGGATGTGGTTGTGGATGTGATTGATAATTTGATACAGCGTTGTCAGATTATTATCAAAGTTAAATAGTAGGCTACACACTATACACCTTGATGTAACAGGGATGGGAGTTTCTCTCCGTTTTGGTTAAACCTACCCTTTGAACTTCTTGATCCTCGTTTATGCTTCTTTCATCTTTGAGGGTTTTGCATGACTCTATTATAGGGTTTTCTTGGCTCTTGCTCTTACATTGGGTATTTTCGGTGCTTTGTTCGATCATTCACAGCTCCTCTTTTCTGAATGTTGTCTCTTATGGCTGTATCATTGAATTTATAACTATCAAATTCAATGGCTGTATGCATATGCATATGCATCGTCAAATTTAAGCGGAGCTTAGTTTAAGCGTTGCTTGTAATCCATGGCAACCATTGTCGATGCATACGGCTATAATAAATGAACGGAAATGCAATTTGGTAAATTCATTGGTGTGTATAATCAATGGTAAAACTAAAATCTTTATTCCATTCTGGATCTCGCGACCTTGTATATGTCAAGAAACGTACCAATAGACACCGCACAACTGATTCCAGAGAATTTAACATAACCTTAAAATATAAGCTCTATTATATTATATGCAAAATATAAATAAACATGAAACTTCAGTCTCTGCATAAAACTGGTTCATTTTTAATAACCTCGCAATACCAAAAAATTATTCACAGTTAGTATAGTTTACCCTGAACCTAATTATACTCTCATCGAATTTTAGGGAATGTGCAAACTTCTGTTATCAGTTCAGATGAAGCGAAGCGACAGAGTGAGTTATTTTATATGGAAAGTAAAAGACAGAAGGCCGAAATCGGGCGCATTGAAAAGATTACCGTTAATTACTTGGGAGTTCCCGAAGACACAACTTTAGTTATGAACAAGGAAATATCAACTCCGTACGATTGTGCCAAACGTTCGTTTTGCATTGTAGCTCGTGTTAACTAAATATCATCTGGTTTATAGATTTAGGTGAAATGGTGACAAATAGGTCGGCTTTGGCTTTGGTAAATGGAGAACCGTGGCATATGCACAAGCCATTGCAAGATTCGTGCAATTTAGAGTTATTACATTACAACATACCGCAACCCGCTTTGGTTAATAGAGCCTTTTGGAGGACATGTAGCTTCATATTGGGTGCCGTTATTAATAATGCATTTAAAGACTCACTTAAGGTACATTTACACAGCTTCCCCAGTCCCAATGGTAAATTTGTACTGAGAGAGTGCACCGGTCTAAGATGATTGTTTTTAGTACGCTCTGGTAGTTTCATTTATGATGCACAGATCGAGTTAGAGAATTGGACGCCGACGGAAAGTGAACTGCGTGTTTTATCTGCGGAAATGGTTAAGTTCTGTCAGCAAAATTATCAAATTCGTTGCTTGGATGTGTCTGTTGAGTGCGCACTTTCCATTTTTCACAATAATGAGCATAAAACGAAACAAATACCTAACATTGCTGCGTCTAATAAAGGGAAAGTTACACTGTTTAGAGTTGGTGATCATGTAGATATATCCAAAGGACCTATGGTTACAAGCAGTAACCATTTAGGAAGAATAACGATTGCCAGTGTATTTAAATTGGATACAGACATACCGGGCGGTCCCATTTACAGGTTTCAAGGAGTTGCCTTGCCTAGATGCATTGTGCTGAATCATGTTGCATATAGTATCATTGAAGAACGAGCAAAAACTTTGGTATGATTTTGATTCAGTTGGTAATTTCGCTTAATTTTTGAAATATAAACATAGATTTGCTAGTTTTTAGCCTACACTCCAGTAGTGAAAAGAGCAGTTTCAGATTTCAATTTAATGCCAATCTGCGAAGAAATGATAAAATAATTTACACGGTATCATTTATTGAAACTTCTTCATTGTCATCAAGAAAACAATGTTCTTTTAATACCTGCTATTTATATACAGTGATATTAATTAAGAAGTAGACTGGGATTTACATGTATTGTTTTTCCCTATGTCTACTTCTAAATGACAAAATCAAAACAGGGTGTTCCATTTCAAAAAAGTGACTTTGGGTCTACAAACAAAATACCCTGTAAAATTATTTTTAATTGTTTCATGGTACATGTATTTATTTGACTTTTACTTTAACCAGAATAAACGATATAGAACTTGGAATTAAAATTTAAGTACATAGTAATTTTGACAATAAACAGACCCTTGCAAATGCCAAATCAAACTATCTTTTAAACTACAAGTTCTTCATATATAAAACATATAATAAAAAAAGTCGTGCAATTACACGTAGAATTAAAAAATGCATTCAAATACAGGGGGTTCCATTTAAAAAAATTACTTTTTAGCGCCCTACTTTGTGAACACACCCTGTATAATTAAAAATATTTTTAAAATGTGGAGAATATTCAACTATATCATAATACAAGAGCACTTTATCGAAAAATCTTATCTTCGAGGCATAGAGTTACTCCGCGCGATCGTTGTCTCACTGTACAAAAAACCTATTGTTCTAATATCGCGTTTATAACGTAGAGAATAATGGATACCGTCATGTTAAAAATATTCACTCTGCATACAGAGTCCACTTAAGGTAAGCGTTCAAACAGAGCGGACGCGCCGGACTCGCCCGAATTCTAGATAGACTTTTTACGTGAAAAAGTCAATGGCATTGATGCCACATTTTAAAAATCTACATAGAAGTGTAACCTGAAGATTAATAATCTTGTTTATCCATAAGTGTAACACTCTTCAAACTCCGATATAATTGCAGATTTTTACTTTTTGGTGTACTGAATCATAGTTATATATTTGCAGTTTGTTATGTAAACTAGGATGGCTTATACTTTCTGAAGGAGTCATCTAGAGGAGCATTTTTATTCGACTTTTTTACTCAGAAATTAATGCGGAATCGCGTAGTGAAGAGTTGTATGGCTCGAAGAGATACACCCTGCATTATATTTTATATTATTACTTTAAAAAACGTAGTAGAATTTCGTGCTGACATGCAGCATAAAATAATCGTGATTATAAATTAACATTTCCCAAAGCAGCAAGTTTTTTTTTATGATTTGTGTTAACAATTTGTTTTCAGTAAAGGCAATTTTTTATTTCAGAATTCGGCGAGAATTCCTAGTGTCCAAGGATTCTCTGAAGAGGAAAGTAGTTATATGAGACAATCTGTAGCTTAATTTGTATTGTATTAAACATGTAGAAATTGCATACATTTTTGTTAATGATAACCTTTAATCACAGATCATTTATTCTGTATCGACATAGCTTCATACATAAAAATTATCTTCCATGGAAAGCATTTTTGATGTTACACTGTTATTGATTGCTCACAGACAACGTTATTCTTTCCTCCCCTCCTCATATTGTGTTATCAGTAATTTATTGGTTTTGTAAGAAATAATATTTACTGGCTGATCAATGTTCAGTTTAACTTATTGCAATAAACTTTGAAGAATGATATCTTTGTTCTATTTGTTTGTTATAACAGTTCCTTTTTTGGAAGGTAAAGCGATTTTTTATCTCTCACACAATTAACTAAATTACAATTTTTAGCGAAATCCCAATGTGTGTTGATTAAGCCTCCAGTATGGAACTCTATCTACTCAGTTAGAGGGGTTCTTTACATACCATATGCTGAGTTGGAAGAGCCATTTTCTGCTTGGTAAATCATTTTTCACTTTTTCAAAAATAAACACTTCCAAATTAGGTACGATTATCCATCTCAGCGATCACGAATTGATTATTATGGAGGAATGGTAAAAACATTTCAATTGACCAATAGTGGCGCTTTCGGAACAAGTCTAAAGATTGCTCCCGTTACCACCGAAACAGAATTAAACAGCAAGACATGCTTACAAGTTAATGGCACTAAGGACATTAAGATTGAGCCACAATCTGTTCTACCAAACCTCGATGGATTCAAATGCATCGGTAAGATAGCTTTCATTATGTATTTTCGCATTTGTCCTGTTCCTGTTGGGCAAATAAAGCATTATTATTATTAAATACCTTGTGATTTTATATGTAAATGTAACCAGGAGTGGAAATGGTGGAAGGGGTTCAAACGGAAAAGTGGCAGTTAGTCCAAACGATTGGACAAAAAGTAAATCGTTATTCGATGTGGCTCAAGTTTCGAGATGACAACGACAAGCCCGAAGCAAAATATGCCATTCCTATCAAGTATAAAGTTAGCTCAATGTTATCATGTTTATTAAAGGAAAATGTTTTCTAGATATGAAATGAAAGGTTTCAATTCTTTGCTCGGAAGCCATTATGATCATTACTACTTACGATACGAAGATTACAATACCGAAAATATAGACCCAGCTGTGTTTCAAGCGGATGAAGGTATTATCACTTTGTACGATTGTATTAAAAACCGAGGTGGCATTTTGTGCTTCATTTATTCTTTCAAAACTGTATTGTGTACTCATATGTCTGTGAAATTAGCTGAGAGCTTCACAGAACAGTAGTAACCAAAATTGATTACTTCACCTGATTTGGGTGAGAAAGAATTAATTTATACTGTTTATTTCCCAGGTTTGCCTTGCAGTGCATTTCCGGGTCCAGGTGATCGACATATTTACACTTTTAATCCCATGAAAGAATTTATTCATCCTACCACTACCAGCCATGTAGATTTCGAATTTGATAAATTCAGGAATAAACACGGCAAGGATTATAAGCATCATTTAGACGAGGAACAGCGTAAAAATGTCTTCCGTCAAAATTTGAGATTTATCCATTCGGTCAATAGGCAGCATAAAGGTGAACTTGGTCTGATGCCGCTTTCGTTGCTAACACTGGTTTGTATAGGTTTCACGTTAGGGGTCAATCATTTGGCTGATAGGACCGAACTAGAATTGAAAGCCTTGAGAGGCAGGAAATATTCGGGTGGTAGCAATGGCGGCGAACCTTTTCCATTTAAGTTTATCGAACGTACTAAGCTTCCATCAGAATTTGATTGGAGAATATATGGTGCCGTAACTCCTGTTAAAGGTAAGCTCTTTTCGCACAAATCTCACGATTGTAACGACACATTTGCAGATCAATCTGTGTGTGGAAGCTGTTGGTCGTTTGGGACAATTGGTGCTGTAGAAGGCGCATTCTTCCTTCATAATGGACACAAATTGGTGCGCTTGTCCCAACAAGCACTGATTGATTGTTCATGGGGGTACGTACTAACATAACAATACCTTCCCCCTTGTCGCTGTACTCTATATTTCCTATTTAGATTTGGTAATAACGGCTGTGATGGTGGTGAAGATTGGCGTGCCTATAACTGGATGCTACGGCATGGAGGTATACCTACAGAAGATGATTATGGTCCTTATTTAGGCCAAGTAGGTAGCTTAAATAACTATAAACAAATTGAAAGTGTGTTGTAGGATGGATATTGTCATATAAACAATGTAAGTCTTACTGCCAAAATAACTGGCTTTGTTAACGTTACGTCTGGAAGTTTAACAGCACTTAGACAAGCAATTGTGTCACAAGGCCCAATTAGTGTTGCAATTGATGCAGGTCATCGTACCTTTAGTTTTTACTCCAACGGTATTTATTACGAACCTGATTGGTAAGATGACACACTAATTGCTCAAAACATACCAAGTTAAAACTTTTCAGCAAAAATAAACTGGACGAATTAGACCATGCCGTCTTGGCCGTTGGGTATGGAACAATAAACGGTGAAGACTATTGGTTAATCAAGAACAGTTGGTCAAACTATTGGGGTAATGATGGATATGTATTGATGTCGGCTAAGAATAATAACTGTGGAGTGATGACAACCCCGACCTATGTGAAAATGTAATCTTTAATACTACCTAGTTGTAGTTTGTTTTTATATTTGATATCAATATTGTAGTTACTATAGGAAGCAGTAGGTTAAATATTACTAACATTGTTTTATAAAATGTAGTTTCAATACTTAACTTCGTCTGAAATGAAAAATCGACATTAAGACTTTGGAAAGCACTGCATAGTCTCGACACATTTCCCAAAACCATGTACACGTATTCTAGAACCCTATGTACGCGATATTTGTTTTCCGTGGACTTTAAAGTGATTCCAATTCTTCAGAAAATCTCCATGACTTAACATGATTTTGCTAATTAGATTTATTAAAGAAATATAATAATAATATATTATAGACCAACAAAATTGCCGAATTTTTGATAAAATAATGAGAAATACAACTGAAAATGAACTAATTCGCATATCATTAGATGAAAAAAATCAAGTTAACATGGGGAGCAACGATCTGCAAAAAACCTTTGTCCCATGTTAATTCCTATGTTCGGTTTTGGAATATTCACCCGGTATATTACGTTGATGGTGCGAAGAACAACCATCTACATAATCAATTTATGGCGTATATTTAGACACAGCAGTTACAATCCCATTTTGTAAAGTTAGGTTAAATTGTTCGCTTTAGAAACTGTTTTGCTTTGTCATTTCATTTTGAATAAAAATGGCATTAGAATCAATTTGCGGTTTGCAAAACTTTGATAATCGCGAAGATAATTTATTTGAAAAGGATTTATTCAATTATACGAGAAATTTCAATGCCAATACAAACTTGGCCCTTCCACCCTTTCCGCAGGTAAGCAGCCCCGTGGGTTTCACTTCATTGATAACCACTTTTAGTTCTCCGAGAATTTGTCGCACGGCATGACCGACGAACGAGGACGCGATATCAAAATCAAATTCGATCACGGTACAACCACTTTAGGCTTTCAGTATAATGGAGGTGTTGTACTTGCCGTCGATTCTCGAGCTACCGGTGGCGATTTTATTGGATCGCAAACGATGAAGAAAATCGTGGAAATTAACGATTTTTTGTTGGGTATGTAGAATTGATTGGTGGCATTTGATAATGATGCATTCAGGTACTCTCGCCGGTGGAGCTGCCGATTGTGTGTATTGGGATAGGGTGTTAGCTAAGCAGTGCCGTATGTATGAATTGCGTAACCGTGAACGTATATCAGTCGCCGCTGCTTCAAAATTAATGGCGAATATGGTGTACAATTATAAAGGTATGGGACTTTCAATGGGAATGATGATCGCAGGCTGGGATAAGAGAGTAGGTTCTCTTTTATGTTACGAAATACTCTGCTAATCTTACTTTTTAGGGTCCTCAGTTGTACTACGTGGATTCGGAAGGTACTCGCACTCCTGGACAAGTGTTTAGTGTTGGTTCTGGATCTATTTTTGCGTTTGGAGTTTTGGATGCCGGTTATAAGTGGGATTTAACAGATGAGGAAGCATATGACTTGGGAAGACGTTCAATTTATCACGCCACACATCGTGATGCATATTCTGGTGGAATTGTTCGTGTCTATCATATGAAGTCCACAGGGTGGGTTAATATTGACAATATTGATTGTATGGATTTACATTACAAGTATAAGCAAGAGAAAGAAGATAAATTAAATGAAATTTAAGTTTATATGTATCTATAACTTTTTTTTAATTAAATTGGAATATTTGTCGCTCAGGAGTTTAGATAGAGAGTGAAAGCTGAAACAAATACTAAGAAATCACAATAAAACGTCTACGTTTGGACAGTAAAGCTTACATTTTATTAATAATTCCGATTTTAAACTAATATAAAATCTTTAATTCTCAACACAACTACACATTCAGAAACAATTCTATTGCACCGGCGATATAAATATCTAGCGACTAGCTTTAATGAAATTGATTAATCCATTAGTGGATCCATCGTGGGATGAGACAGGATTATTATCCTGCAGTTCAGGTTCGATTGCTTTTGCAAGTTGTTTACCAAGCTCGACTCCCCATTGGTCAAACGAGTTTATATCCCAAATCACCCCTTGAGTGAAAATTTTATGTTCATATAGAGCTGAAATAAAACTTAAGCATTAGCAAAAAATAAAAATAAAAGAAGTTACCAATGAGAACTCCCAGCACAAATGGTGTCAGTTTCTTAAAGACAATGCTGTTTGTCGGTCTATTACCCTGGAATATTTTATGTGGTAAAATATGTTCTAAATTGGAACCTGATAATCCTTGTTTCTGTAATTCTTGACGCGCTTGTGCTTCTGTTTTTCCAGTCATCAACGCTTCCGTCTGAGCCAGAAAATTGGCCAATAAAATGTTGTGATGTTTACCATTGCTGATAGGATTGTGAGTTTGTGCCGGCGCAAAGAAATCGCACGGTATGACACGTGTACCCTGATGGATTAATTGGTAAAATGCGTGTTGGCCATTAGTACCCGGTTCACCCCAAACAATCGGACCGGTGGAATAATTCACCTAAATTCTTTAACTTTAATTTCTATTCACAATTACCTATAGATAAACATACCACTTGGCCACTCCTAGTTACATATTTCCCATTACTTTCCATGTCGCCCTGTTGAAAATATGCGGCAAAACGATGCAGGTATTGATCGTAGGGGAGCAGTGCGTGAGTTTCTGCACCGAAGAAATTACTGTACCAAATTCCCAGCAAGGCTAAGATGACAGGAACCTATAAAATGCACATAGAACTATGGAAAATAGGCTCTCAAGTGGAGAAGATAGCTATGGATTTCACAAAAGGGCTTTAATTGGTTTCCACAGAAATCCGCAATTTCTTTTCAAGGTTTAAATTTCACGGAAATTGTCTAGTGGTAAAAAAAACTAAATGGGCTCTACTATTGATATTGGCGCAGTCTTAATTTTGGGCACCAACAACACAGTTTTTAGTTTCTATGGTTAATTTCCAATAAAATAACTGGCAGCTGTTTTCTTGGTCAAAATAAGGAAGAAGTTCATGAAAATCCTTCAGAACCAGGAGAAAACACTGTTGAATGAGCAAAATTTAATCAAGAAGAAAGGCATTTTAAATAAAAACAAAAAAGGAAAGAAAAGGTGTGTTAAGTTCATCATTAAATAGTGCAATTGAAATAAAGTATGCAGCGTACTAGTTAAATTCTCAATTCTCTTATTAAAAAGAGAGTCACATAACAAAGAAGAAAAATTATCATATAGATAGTATGAATTGTTTCGTGATGGATGGATTAGCAGTCAAGGTCTCAATCCCCTCAGCGCCAGCATACTCTTAAAATTCGATTTTTGTGGGAAGTTAAAAATAGTGTTTCACTGCAAAAAACAATTGCATGGCAAACATTTGAGAGGCATTAAAAATGAATGTATAAAATGCAAGGCAGGAAGTTCAGTGAAATTTTGGTTCCCTCTATAACCCAATTTTTTTGTTTGACCTAAAAGATTTCAATTCCTTTAAAAAGGACTTAGAGGTTTGAGTTTGAAGTGACAGTGTTTTTTAAAGAGTTATCAATTGTAAATTTTTTCAACCTTCAACTTACATTCTTTTCAAGTGGCGCTGTGGTGAAATGATTATCCATGTGATTAGCCCCAAGTAACAATTGTTCAAAGCTATCGAATCCAACCGACAAACATATGCTCAAGCCGATAGCCGACCACAAAGAGTATCGTCCTCCCACCCAATCCCAAAACCCGAACATATTAGCCGTATCAATTCCGAACTCTGTTACTTTGGAAGTATTAGTACTCAAAGCGACGAAGTGTTTAGCAACTGCGGTCGGCTACAATAGAAGATGTAATGCAATGTAGACTCTAAGCTCATTAATAATTACATCCTTCGCATACTGCAAAAACCACTCCTTTGCGGATGTTGCGTTCGTTATAGTTTCTTGAGTAGTAAATGTTTTTGAAGCTATAATAAACAAGACCCGTTCAGGATCCACATTTTTTAAAACCTCAGCCAAGTGGGTACCATCAATGTTTGAGACAAAATGCATACTAAGGCCCTTATTATAAGGCTTCAATGCCTCTGTGACCATTAATGGCCCCAAATCAGAACCACCTATGCCTATATTAACGACATCCTTTATAGTTTTTCCCGAATATCTACAATGGTACAGTAAAACAAATGAAATTTCTATTCTGAAAATACACACCCTTTCCAAACTCCGCTAAGGACCGCATTTGTAAAATCCTTCATGTGGGCCAATACACCGTTGACATCAGATGTAACATCCTGACCGTCGACATGAATGGGAACGTTTCCACGATTCCGCAATGCAGTGTGTAGCACCGCACGATTCTCTGTAAAGTTAATTTTTTCACCTTTGAACATAGCATCTCGGGCGGATTCTAATTTTCGAGCGCGTGCTAATTGGAAAAGTAGGCTCATCAATTCCCCATTGATACGATTTTTTGAATAATCTACTAGAATATTTCCATCCCTCGGAGTGTCAATGGTTACACTACAACAAAGTACAATGACAAATGAAGGTCAGTGAAGTCCTTCAGGATGAAGTGATTACCTGAAGCTATTAAATCTGTTGGCATCCTGCTTGAATTCCTCTGAAATGTTTATAAACTTTCCCTTGTTGTTGTAATAATTTTGGATGGCTTGGAAGACCGGTTCTCCTGTTAAGGGCGCTCGAGCTTCCATGGTCTTTAATGGAAATTGCAAATATTCACTGAACAGAGACGCGAAGTGATAAACTCCTTTGAACTAACGATTAAAATTCACTTTCTAAAAAGCCTGTTGACGCAGGCTTACTGAAGACTGAAGTATTTCTAGGGTGATGCCTTATTTTAAGAGAGTGTGTTATCGTCATCTTTAATCTTTTATTAACAATTTGTGGTATTAAAATCTACATTTTTTGTTGCTTTACGAAACCTATAATCCCTTCAGCTAAGGTACAGTGCACACTGCGATGTAAGCCGTACGATTACCGTTAAGCCTAGCCCGCACACAACCATAAATTATATTATTAGATTACAAATAATTCTTAATTGTAGGTACCTACATGTTTTTGGGTACTAATTGGCTTAAAGCAGTTTAGGGGATATGATTCCCCTTCCTCCCCAACAAAATGAACAAATTACTATTCCCTCCCAAAGTGCCAAAGTCTTGCACGTCGCGGTTATTTTGGGGGTCTGATTTGTATTTTGTAAAGTTGGTGGTCCGGGTGGTAGGCTACTATTTAATAGAACAATTTTTATATTGAATAATTCTTCGCATTTTCATCTTTAGGAGTCAATAATCTCGAATGAACAATATAATGAAAATGAAAAACGCAGCCGTACCATCTTTTGTGAAAACAACATAGAAAATTACATGACTTTGGAAAGTTAATTCAAAGTTTAAACTACGAAATATGTGTAAATTAGTGAATAGCAACGATCATATCGCCTATGGGTACATTTAAAACCGAAGTTTTTTGTTAGCAGAGTTCCACCCCTAGGACAGGCGACTAGGCTTCCTTTAATCATTTTGTGTTTATCTCCTCTTTGTTGTGACATTTTTAAAGTAACAGTAAGATAATATTTATTTTTATCTTACATACACTGTTTTTGGGGCATTCTGGGCGCTGAGCCGTTTTAGGCTTTCCAAGCCAAAGCTCTCTATGCCCTTTGCGCGTGACCTTTCTGGGCACATTCAGCAAAAACCGATTCTTGCAAATTAGATTTTTGAGTGTTTCTCCAACAGATTTGTGTCTTTAAATGTTTTGATTGAATTGCTGTTTTTTTTTTACCCTTATGACATGGTGAAAGCGTTATTTATGGATAAACAATGGTTAAAAACTCAAGCGTTTTGTAAACGTTCTGTTGAATGCACCCATTTTTAATAACAACTTGTTGACATTTGACCGCCCTTGACATACGTTTGACATCTTGAAAATGGTAAGTTGATATAATTTAAAATTTTCAGCAACAAAGATAAGTAATCGTAAAAAATGGGCACATTTCACGCGGGTTTAATGTGGAATATACACTCAACAGATATGCTTAATTTAAGGGTAGCAAATATACAAACTTCCTTTTTTAACCTCTTCTTGTACTTTAATAATTACTGTTTTAGCCTGCTACTTCACAACAGTTATCACCTGTTGAAGAACAAGAGAAACTTTTGGACGATGCGCTCGGTCAAGTCAAAGTTAATGCATTTCAAGTGAAACGATGTCTTGATAAGGGCAAGCTTATGGACGCTTTGAAACATGCCAGCGCAATGCTTGGCGAATTACGTACATCACTATTATCACCAAAGAGCTATTACGAATTATGTATGTTGTACTATGTTAATTTACACCTCTTTAAATGTTGACATTGCAGACATGGCCATAACTGATGAATTACGACACATGGAGTTGTATTTACTTGATGAATTCCAGAAAGGAAGGAAAGTAACAGATCTCTACGAATTAGTTCAGTACGCAGGGAATATTGTACCTCGACTTTACTTACTCATCACAGTTGGATTGGTGTATATCAAATCCAATTCCGGATTAAAACGTGACATTTTAAATGACCTTGTGGAAATGTGCCGAGGTAAACTCCGAACTGTGCTGTATACTTACTAATTTTGACCAACAGGTGTACAGCATCCTCTGCGAGGTCTTTTTCTACGTAATTATCTATTGCAATGTACGCGTAACGTACTGCCCGACTCTCCCGAAATGGAAAACGAAGACGGCAACGGAAATGTTCGAGACTCGATTAATTTCGTTCTTATGAATTTTGCCGAAATGAATAAGCTGTGGGTTAGAATGCAACACCAGGGCCATTCGAGGGAGAAGCAAAATCGTGAGAAAGAACGAGAGGAACTGAGAATTCTTGTTGGCACAAATTTAGTACGGCTTAGTCAGCTTGAATCTGTTACGATGGAGAAGTATCAGAAAATTGTGTTACCTGGGATTTTGGAACAGGTTAGTCATAATTACTCTTGCAGCATGGGATTAAATAAGTGTTCAAAATATTTTTAAATGGTAAAACCAAACAATAGGGGGAGAGTATCATAGAAGTTATACACAAAATGAGTACTGCAATCTTGTAATATGCATTTGTGAGGGCATTTTTTCTTGGTAGAGAGGTCATGTGACTGCATAACAAGAAAATATGTATTTGGTATTTGTTTGTTTTATTGTGTGCAATCTCATGTGCAATTCTTCTTTATATATTCTATTGTTTAAAACGGACTCCTTTAGAGTGTTGCAAAAAATGAAGGCTCTTGACTAATGTAATGTGAATGTTATTGCACATAGTACCCCTCTAGTACCCTAAACCAAACACGTGAGGATATTGTTTGTCGGGATTTGTTAAATTGTACCCTGGGAGAAATAAAGAAAGGACTGTCAGATAAGGGAGTAATCGATGTCAAACGTATCAAGGCAATAATTAATGGGGAGATGGTAGACCCTGCTTCTCACTTTTAATAAAATATAATTGCTCAATAAGGTTAAAGCAGGTGTTTGTTGCCTGTCGGTTCGTCTGTATGTACCAGCTCTAATGAGATGTTAAAGATGTCAAAGGTTTGGACACACTGCTGTCAAATGTTCAAATGATACATGAGGACAAAGAAATGGATATACAGGAAGTTAAAGCAAAGGAAAACGGGGCGTATTTTGAGGCCAAGAAAATCGTCTAAGCCAACAGCAACTGGAAATATGTACAGCCAAGTTGCACCAGTTGAAAATCAAAAAGTTGCGGAAGTAAAGGAGTTAGCCAAAGAATTAAATACTATGAAAGATTATCAGAAAATGCCATCTGAGTTTTTTCTTTTGTTATTGTTTTTTATACACGTGTGCAGGTGTTAGTAATTTTTTTTATGTTATTTAAAAAATTGTGTGATCCCTCCTATTTGACTATACAATGGATACGCACAAAATTTTACAGTGGAATTCGTAGAATTGTAGGGGTACAATAACTAGATACTGTGACATCAAAATGGTACGAGAGATTGTTCCACGACTAAAAAATGGTGAAATGCGCGTAGGCATAGAGTAAATAATATAAAGAGGTGTCATGGGATAGGATATTGTTGCATTAGAAAATCTTGTAAGGAAGTGTTGCTATCTTGTGACTGTTCTTCAAAGCTGTTGTATCGCTGTATTACCATTATAACAGCATGTAACCTGTATTACCTATTTAAATATAGTGAGAACAAAGTTGAGATTTGAATTACCTCATTACATTGCACCAGACACAGACCATGATATTGTCAGCATTA